AAAAAACAGCAGCTTGTTCATGAGCAGAAGCTCTATTTCTTTGTATTTTCTTGAGTGTTTACTGCTGAAAAATTCTGATAAGTTGCTCCCCATGTATTCCTTGATATTGTGATCATATTTGATGAAATATAGAGATGTTTCTTGAGTGAAATTAGTGTGGAAGTGGAGCAGTTTTTCATCCTCTATTTTTGTGCTCTTTAGTAGTTTTTTATTTTTTGCTTCTAATTCCCAACACTGCATTCTGTCGTCACCAGTATTCAGAATTATTGGCCTTCTCATGTTTACCTACCTCAGCAAATCATTGAGAAATTAGAGCAATTAATGAAGAGATTCTTATGGAAGGGCTCTGAGCTGGGCAAGTTTGAAGTAAAAGTCTCCTGGGATGATGTTTATAAACCTAGGAATGAGGGTGGCTTAGGTATCAAGAGAATTAAGGATTGCACTTCTGCTTTGATTTGAAATTTATTTGGATCTTGCTTACTGACAAACATAATCTTTGGGTCCTTTGGACTTATGCTTATTACCTCAGAAGCAGAAGTTAGGTGAAGACTTCTCATTGCTGTTCTTGGAACTGGCTAAATCTGCTTAAGGCTAGAGAATTCATTAGGTCTCACTTGATTCACTTGGTGGGGAATGGTCATAATACCAGGCCACTCTTTGATTACTGGCATCCTTTGGGGCCATTAAACTCATCTTTCAACCCAAATGACTTTCGTACCGTGGGATTCACCAGTGCATCTTTGGTAAGTAGCATTATTTTGCATAACAATTGGCAGTGGCCTGACAGCTCCTCCTCACCTGTCTCTCTTGCTATTCTTAATGTTATGCCTTCTTATTATCCTAACTCTGATAGAGAAGATAAAGTGAAACGGTTGTCTTCTCCCAATTCTATCTTCTCCACTGCTTCTGCTTGGGAGCTTATCAGATCTAGAGGTTCCATTGTTCCATGGCATAAGCTTGTTTGGTTTGGCAAAGCAATTCCTAGAATGGCTTTCATGCCTTGGTTGGCTATCAAGGGTAGACTTAGCACTATGGACAAAGTCTGCCGCTATGCTCCCCAGCTCTGTTCTTCTTGCATTCTTTACAGGTCTTCAGATGAATCTCACAGCCACTTATTTTTGACTGTCCATTCTCTACCACAGTTTGGAAATCTGCGATGTCTTGGTCTGCCAGTACCTGGCAACATAAACCTTGGTTTGACCTCATTCTATGGGCTGCTAATGCTTGGAGAGGGAAGTATATGGTCAAAGTTATTTGCAGATTAAGTCTTGCTGCTTCTGTCTATTACATTTGAATGGACAGGAATAATAGAATATTTATGAGTAAACAAAAAGATCCCTCTTCTGCGTGCCTTGTGATTAATCACACCATCAGATTTAAACTTTTCTCCCTCAAGTTCAAGCATAAAAATCACAATGTGGATCTAGCTTAGTAATGGTCTATCCCAGCTTCATGCTTAGCCTAACTGTTTGTGTTTGGCCTTGTTTTCCCTTGTACTCCTTGGCTCTGCTTGGTATTTTGGTGGAAGTATCTGTATGCTTATACCTCCACCTAAATTCCATCTTCTTGTTATCCTTTGTTGATTTTTTTCCATTTGGCAATGAAATTCATGTACTTAGACTAGATCGAACAGGTCACATGAATGTTCTAATTACTTAAGCATCTATAGATACACAAATCTAAAATCTAAATTCGCTTCTACAAATCCACCAGTTTAAATAAAAATTAATTCTATCACAACGATAAATTAAAAGACAATCTCAATTCTTTTACTAGATTTTACCTCTAACCCGGAAGAAAGAATTAAAATGTCGGTTTGCCAGCTTGAACGAGAAGCAAGGGCTTTTTGCTCTCCTCACAGTTTTCAGGATTCTGGCATATTGAACGTTGGCAAATGTTTGGTTGAAGAATAATCGAGCATAGACTAGATCGAAGAGGTGTTTTATTCAGTGTGAGGCCAAACATGCGAAAACAGAAAACCTATAATAGTATACCAGTACAGACTCTAAAGGAAAAAAAAAAAATAAGCCAACAACGGCAGAGGATTATCACTTGAAAAAATAAAACCCTAAATTTAATCTGAGTAAGAATTAATAATATAACAAAATTAAATCAATTTTACATATATATAATCTAACAAGTACAAATACAATTGATAGTTATATATATACCTTTTTATAAAAACTAACTGATGCGCATGTATGAATTGTTAAGTATCAAATATTTTGAACATTGATGTAAGAATCATATATATATATACATATATATAACAAATACAAATACTATTGATAGTTATGTATATCCTCGTTACATCATTCTATGATAACTAGTTAATATGTATGTGCGTTGGACATGGACTGTTAAGTATCAAATATTTTGAACATTGATGTAAGGATCATATAGAGAGATTCTATAGAGAGATTTTTGCCTGATACTTCTGTTTTTTTCACGCAAAGACGAAATGTATCAAACCAGCTTCTGTCTTTTGGGTTAAGTTTTTTTTTTCCATGTCTATGTTCAAGTTCGTTGCATAGACAGAGGCGATAGAGTGACACGTGAGAGAGTATATATAAATAACTCAATATACAAATTTAACTCCAGATTTGAATATACATAACTCTATATATGAATAATTCTCGATACAAATCTAACTTAGATCTACACACGCACACATAAATAACTCCAAATCTATGCATATCTAAGGTATATATGTATACTTCTAACAAATCTAACAGACAGACAGACGAGAGAGTGATAAAGAGAGAGCTCTTGGGGTCTTCATTGCATAGAGGCGAGAAAGAGCTTTGGGTCTTCATTTGCACATACAGAGAGGCAAGCGAGAGGCAATGAAGAAAAAGGTTTCGTTCTTTGGTTACAAAGAGAGGGGGAGAGAGAATCTAGTGAATTTTTATGCTTTGACGATCCAAAGCGTTTTTTGCTGCCAACAAGTTTCGAAGTCTAGATCTTATTAATTCTCCCAACCCTCGCACATTGTTTGTGTTTTTTTTTTAGATTTTTGAAATATATATATTTTTTTTTTTTTGCATTTTTTGACCTTATTTTCAAAACAACTAGTTAAAAAAAAAAGGAAAGACATCTCAAACACATTTTTTTTTTTTAACAAAAAATGAAAAAAAACAAAAACTAAGAAACAAACACACGAGCCAAACACACTCTTAGTTATTTGTTTTTGTTGTCCTTAATAATTTTGGTACCAATGAGAAAAGAAAAAAGAGAAAAGAATGATATGGCACCATTCTGAAGCTATTTTTTTGACTCTATCCAACTTAGCATTGTTCGACCAACATCATGAATGTGTGTGTGTGTTCGAAGAGACAGAGAGAGAAGAGTGGAAGAGAGTAGAGATGTTATTTTATCACTAACAAGTAATCACTACAATTAATCACGTGTAATTTAGATTCAAGATTAAAACATAGACATCGGATGCACATAATTATCCAAAAACTACACGGACCGATTAAATACAATTTTTTTGTAGCTTGGGAGATGCAAAACTAAGGATGCATGAATCAACCTCTTAGCCAACCCATAGAGAGGAGTTACACCACAATGAGAATTGTGTGACCACATTGATCCGCACCAACAAATCTTGTGTTCGAGATCATCCAAACCACACGATCCTTATACCAGACCCCTCATATATGGGCAAGCTTTCAAAATTTGTTTACTGGACAAAATTTCCAAACAAACTTGTAACCCACTGCATCAAACTGAGTTGGAAAGTTGGAAAAAGCCATACCACTTCTCCCCCTTTTTGGGTTTTATTTATTTATTTTTTGTTCAATGGTCTCTGGATGAATTTACCTACACCTCGACTAATCCTTTTCCGCAAGCCATCCACACCAGGACTATAGTGTTCACGAAGGATAAATCTCTTATAATCTAATTTCAAAAGCCTGTCAATATTCGAACTCATGATGTCTAAATTTACAGATCGTTCCTATATTTTTTGAAACTTCACTGACACCCATTACCGGACGGTTAGGGGTCAATTATCAACCCTATTCACATGGCGAATGAAATTTAGACAATTTTTTTTTAAGTCTATAATTACATATCCATAGTTGTGTCTAGTCGGGATTTGTGTCATGGATTGTGCTGTGAATAAACTAATTTGTGTTGATTTATTTTGTTAAAATAGATTTATCCTATCAACACAGCTATAATTTGAACCCATAAAGACTACAGTCATATATCCGATAATTTCATATTTGGTTTTGCACTGGATTAACAAATCGTGTTTAAAGATACCAACCCTATATCATCCTCACCAAATGTGACTGATTGGTTTGCCCTATGACATAAAGTTGCAAAACCCTAAAAAAAACACTTATATAGTACTCTTTACAAACATGAAACCATTTTTTCCTTTTGATAATCTCAGTCAGTTACAAAAATTTACAATCAATAAACTTTACACAAAAAAAGAAAAGAAAAAAGAATAGCATTCATAGCACATTTAATAGACTGAGGGATAAGTAATTCGACTCATTCACATCTAGATCATGAATGTTTGGAATCCATATTATATAAGGAGACATTTCTTTTGCTAATTCGAATTAAAAGGTGATACAAAATCAATTTATTTTCGGCATCATCTCTATAGTTAGCACATTCATCATAGTTAGCAGTTCAAACTTCGTATCAAGGTCACGATCAATATCATCACTAGCATATTGTTGCTAGCATCAATATCATCACTATCATCAATAAAAAAATCTTTAAGCTTGTTATCTAGGAACTTATTCTGAAATACTATAATGAAAGGGGCATATGAGTTTGTCGCTAGGTATTTGACCAAATAGAATCGTCCAGCACCATGTCTTCAGTTAATCACAATTCACATTTCTCGCCAAGTCCAAGACCCACCTCACATCAGGCTCATTAGAACCCCCTTCCTAACCTTGCACAGTTCTTGGTATGTTATACTGTCGATCCCAAATGTTCAACATCTCCAAGCTGTGTAGAACTCCAAAACTTCATGCAATAACTTCTGGGTGGGTCCCTGGACCTTGGGCCTGTGCGTACACCGGAACTCTAATTCCACCAAATAACCAGTTGTGATATCTGGTTAGATCTCCTCCATACGGTTGCTCTTGTAGGAGCTCATGTTCTGAATGGGCAAAAAAACACACCTTCCGGAGACAAAAAGGGCCAGCGTTGCACCTCCGAGTCCTGTACTTTTCTAAATGAAGCCAGTGCTCGAAAGCTCCATGCGAAAAGTGGCACGTCTCACCTCGCTCGCACTCCTCAGCTCTATAACTAGGGCATGTGATGGCTGCATAATAGTACCTGCAAGGGTCATGGCGACCAGCCTTTTCACTGTGGTGAGCAAAAAGGCATAGAGTCTAGTCATTGACTCTCCAGCCTTGGGCACTATCTGATCTTGTATTTATACATTTGGAATTCATCCGATTCGTACAGTGCCTACAATGCCTGATCGACCAGATTTCCAAAATCATGATTCATGCCGTTCGACATTGTCAAGGACTCAAGAATGAAGATTATAGGGGGGTTTTTATGGTAAAATGGTGATGACTATGTAAGAGAAAATGAAGAAAACACAAGTTGAATACAAATACAGTGCTTCTAAATCTAGGGTTTCAAGTTATTAGAGTGAAAGCAAGAAAATATATTTTTTTTTAAGATCAAGAGTTAGAAAGGTAAAAACGTTACTCTATTCTTTCCTAAAATCAAGAATAGCGCCTTTATTGTAAAATATTTGAATTATTACATAAAAAATTGATGGTACACAAAAAGTTTTTGAACACAAGAGATGGATTTGGAAGAATATTCAATATCGTATGGAAAAATCTACGGATTTTTTGTTAATTTACGTAAAATTGAAGGAAAAAAAGAGGAAGATAAAATTGAGAAGCTGAAGATAACAGAATAGAAGAGCAACCAGCTACTGTGTGTTAGAAGAAGCAGTGATGGAAATGGGAAGGAGGGTATGGGTATTTATAGCTTCATGATCTAACCACCTTGAGTTAAGTCTAAACATCATGAGTTAATATTTGATCTACCTGTTGAGCCTCTGTCTAATGGTAACGGACGTTCGGGGGCCTAGGAGGTCCCACAACCATAAAAATGGTCTGCCGATGCATGCAATCATGAAGTGTGATTTCTCTACATGACATGCATGATTTAGTATGAAAAATGGCAGCATGCAAGTACGTAAAAAGGTACTCAAACCCTAGGTCATACAACCCAAACCTAAGAAGATATAAAATCTTTATCCTAAAAAGGATAGTATCGCGTTATTATCAATACGAATTATCATTTGTTAATAATAAATAATTAATTGGGTTAAAGAATCGTGCATATGTATGTGTTGGATATGATTATATTAGATATTATGGTCATCGATTATATGAAGTGGTCATTTTAAGCGTGCATGAGTTTAATTATAAATGATTGATGATACCACGTATCAATACAATAGTATTACCGCTCTATGCCCTTATTGTGACCACATGGAATAGAGAGACGTAAGACGTGCCACCTTGCGCATGTAATTTTGAGTACTCAAGTTTGTTTTAAACTGATAATACCATGGAGGATTTCTCGAACTCAAGGTCTCCATCTTTCGAAGCGAGGCCATGGCTAACATGACCCCTCAACTGAAAATAATTTTAGCAGATTACCACATTAATTCGTTCATAAACGCAAAAATCCACCCCCCCCCATGTGTGTGTACGTATATTCCAAAACACATAGGGGTATGACTGCTGTAATGTCATTTCCCATCCTATTTCTTTTAAAATCAAAAATTCATCATAAATAAAAGTGAAATCTATTAGATCATTGTGTAACTTCACCAATATACGGTGTATAATGCACAAAATTTAAAATTAAAATGATTTAGATTAAAAATAGAGAGATTGACGAGGTTCAAATTCATAACCTTAAAGTTTAACAACGAAATGATGTTTATTAAGCAAACCGTTAATCCCGTGTGGAACCACAAATTACGGCTATCCAAATACTATAATACTTACCTGCGGTTGCCAAAATACTGATCTTGCAGTACATGCAGTCGGGATTGATGTGTTAGTACAATCGTTTGACCAAAATGTACAACACCACAAAGCAATCAAAACAAACTACAGAAAACTCGAAGATAGATCAGGTAGCAGAGAAGCTTTCCCCTCTGCCGTCCGACGTTGAAGACAATGGTACAATAAAAATCGGACGGTCCTCTCTTTATATTAAAAAAACAAATAACGTTAGAGTTGCATGCAGGCCCATGAGCGATAAGCAAATATGCTTACATAGAACAAAGTTTACATAGCTTTATCAACACGTGTGTGATGTGCTTTGGCATATTCGCATGCAAATGGACTTACTTTAGGGTTGCGTTTTAAAGGAGTGGTTAAGAAGAAGACGAAACTATTAAACAAAGTTTTGTCGGCTAATGCATGACATTGAATTGCCATATGTGAAAAAGTGTACATATTAATTTTTTTTTTTTTCTTTTTCGAGCGTTATGGATTTGATTTTGTGTTGGAGGAATTTAAATTCATAATTTACACATTGATATAGCAGAATAAAGATGAACAATATCATCATACTGACAAAAAGCATTTGCCTTATGCTAGTGGTAAAGGTAATTAAATACTAGATAACAGGGTTTAAATCTCATGCTATTAACAATAAAAATCAGTTTCACAATATAATTACCTAAAGCATTGTAATTGTATGATGCCAACATTTCTAAATGATTTTCATTCTATGGTTGGCAGTTAAAGGAAAATTTAGAACCAAAGATCAGATCAAGCACTTCATACATGTTGTGCAGACATCATGTATCCTATGCAGAAGGGAGGAAGATTCTGTGCAGCACCTCTTTTGGAATTCGTATGTTGGACTCAACTGTAGATGTGATTTAAATGAGTACTATGTAAATTTGCACTCTAATTAGATCATATCCTTATTCTCTGCCTCAGCAGGTGTATAGAGGCTACTAGTGAAGTGATAGTCTCATGGTTTTTGTTATACTTTTGATCATTGCATGGTTTGTATATCCACAGTTTATAATATTAATACAATCTTTTACTTACCCAAAATATTGCTCATCTTTCTTTTTGTCAAAGTGAAAAAAAAGTCATACTCATTCATGAACTAACTGAAGATTTTTTAAAGGTAACGGTTTAAATAAAACAATCTTTTAAGGTATGTCTGAATTTATGTTTTTGGATTTGATTTGACATTTACAAAGTTATAGTTCGAAATTTAATAACTTGAATTTCAATCAGAAACATAAACGGATATGAGAATTGCAAAATATGGATAGACACCATTCATCAAAAGATTATTTGAAATCATTTACATGAATGTTTCTAATTACTCAAGCATCCATAGATACACAAATCTAAAACCCAAATTCGCTCCTACAAATCCACTAGTTTAAAAAGAAAATTAATTCTATCACAACGATAAATTAAAAGACAACTTCAATTCTTTTACTAGATCTTACCTCTTTGAAGTAACCCGAAAGAAAGAATTACAATGTCGGTTTACCAGCTTGAACGGGAAGAAGGACTTTGCTCTCCACTCAGTTTTCATCGAATTCACACAATCATTCAAAAAGCATGGGGATTTGAATTTTGTGCAACTTGGAGAGACGTGAAACTGAGTACACATGAGTTTATCATATGTCTCAAGTTCGACCACTTAACCAGCCCATGCATGCCCAAAAAAGAGAGTTACACCATGCCTTTTTGACAAAATTAGTCCACTTCATCTGGCTCATTTATCATATGCATGAAACAAAGGCCCGTTTAATGTTAATAAAGAGTATATTAGTGTGTTTTCTTCTAGCCCAATGATGGGATGTTGTACAAATCATTAAGGCACCAGGTATGTTAGCCTAATTTTTGCTATCTTTTTGTCTAGTTTCAGTTTGTTTGCCTTATGATGGAAAGTTTTCGGATTGGTAGCATCGAGTTTTAAACCACTGATCCATCCTCCACTAAGAGCAGCAAAGGGACGTGTTATGTGTCTTATTTAGGTTGTGTTATACTAAAATTTAATAAATCCATAATAGTATATTTGTAGTTGCGTGTAGTTTGATTTGTATCATAGATAGTGTTTTGAATAGACTAATTTGTATCGACTTATTTTGATAAATAGATGTATCTCATCAACAAGGCTATAATTTGAGCCCATGAAGACTAAAGTCATATATCAAATAATTTCATATTTAGCTTTGCATGGGATGGACGGATCGTGTTTAAAATTATACACTCTATCTCATCCTCACCAAATGAGCCTGATTGCCTTGTCCTATGACATAAAGATGCACAACCTTTGACAAAAAAACACATACAATCAATACACGTATAATCAAAGCTATTCTATAAAATTATCACAATCTCAGTCAGTTACAAACACTTACAATCAATCAACTTTACACACAAAAAAAATAAATAATAATAGAAGCACATTCATAGCATATTTACTTCTCCATGTCTTCACGTAATCATCATTCACATTTCTCGCACCAGGTCCAACACCCACCTCACATCTGGTTCATCCGAACTTCCTTCCTCCCTGCAAAGTTCTTGGAATTTCATACTCTCCATCCCTAATGTTCAGCATCTCCAAGCTGTGCAGCACTCCAGAACTTTCGACAATGGCTTCTTGGTGGGTGGCTGGACCTTGCGCCAATGCATACGCCAGAACCCTAATTTCACCAAATGACCAGTCGTGATATCTGGTGAGATCTCCTCCAGATGGTTGCTCTCGCCGGAGCTCTTGTTCTGAATGTGCAAAAAAGCACACCTTTTGGAGACAAAAAAGGCCAGCATTGCACCTCCGAGTTGTGTACTTCGCCGGATGAAGCCAATGCTCGAAAAGTCCATGCAAAAAAGTGACACGTCTCACCTCGCTCGCACTCCCCAGTTTTGTAACTAGGGCATGTAATGGCGGCATAATTGTACCTGCGAGGGTCACGGCGACGTGCCTTTTCTCTGCATGAGCGAAAGGGCATAGAGTCCAATAATGGTTACTCCGTCTTGGGCACTGTCTGACCTTGAATTCTTACATTCAAATTTCATCCGATTTGTACAGTGTCTGATCGATCAAATTGCCAAAACCATGATTCATGCTGCTCGACATTGTCAAGGATGATAGAATGGTTTTTTTATGATAAAATGGTGATGACTATGTAACAGAAAATGAAGAAAACTCAAGTTGAATGCAAATGCAGTACTTATAAATCTAGAGTTTCAAGTTATCACAGTGGAAGCGGAAAAATACATTATTCTTTATGATAAAACATTAGAAAAATAAAGACGTTACTCTATTCTTTCCTAAAATTGCAAATAGTGCCGTTATTGTAAAATATTTGAACTATTACGAAAAAATTGATAGTACACAAAAAAGATTTCTGCAACAATTAACACTTTGCAGCCAAATAGTGCAAGAAAGTTGAAGAATAAAAAAAAGGATGAAATTGAGAAGCTGAGGAGAACACAGGAGAAGAGAAACCAGCTACTGTGTGTTAGAAGAAGCAGTGATGGAGATGCGAAGGAGGGTATGGGTATTTATAGCTAATAAACTAACCACCCTTGAGTTAAGTCTAACCATCATGAGTTAAAATTTGATCTACGTGTTGAGCCTCTATCTAATGGTAACGGACGTCTAGTGGGACTCCTAGGCCCCACAGCCATTGAATGTAGGATGGTCAGACGATGCATGCAATCACCAAGTGTGGTTTTTCTACATTTGCCATGCATGGTTTAGTTTGAAATATGGCTGCATGCACGTACCTAAAAAGGTGCACAAACCCTAGGTCATACAATCCAATACTTATTAAATGGAATAGGGAATCGTGCATATGTACGGAATTAATATGATAATGTTGGATATCATGGTCATGGATAATATAAGGAGTTCGTTTTTCACTTGCATGAATTTAATCAAAAATAATATTATCACGTATCGATAAGATAGTATTATCGCTCTATATTTTTTCGGTGATCACATAAGAGTATGTGATCATGAGACACCTTGCGCATGTAGTTTTGAGTACTCGAATATACTTTAGACAAATAATCCAATGGAANTTGTGTTATACTAAAATTTAATAAATCCATAATAGTATATTTGTAGTTGCGTGTAGTTTGATTTGTATCATAGATAGTGTTTTGAATAGACTAATTTGTATCGACTTATTTTGATAAATAGATGTATCTCATCAACAAGGCTATAATTTGAGCCCATGAAGACTAAAGTCATATATCAAATAATTTCATATTTAGCTTTGCATGGGATGGACGGATCGTGTTTAAAATTATACACTCTATCTCATCCTCACCAAATGAGCCTGATTGCCTTGTCCTATGACATAAAGATGCACAACCTTTGACAAAAAAACACATACAATCAATACACGTATAATCAAAGCTATTCTATAAAATTATCACAATCTCAGTCAGTTACAAACACTTACAATCAATCAACTTTACACACAAAAAAAATAAATAATAATAGAAGCACATTCATAGCATATTTACTTCTCCATGTCTTCACGTAATCATCATTCACATTTCTCGCACCAGGTCCAACACCCACCTCACATCTGGTTCATCCGAACTTCCTTCCTCCCTGCAAAGTTCTTGGAATTTCATACTCTCCATCCCTAATGTTCAGCATCTCCAAGCTGTGCAGCACTCCAGAACTTTCGACAATGGCTTCTTGGTGGGTGGCTGGACCTTGCGCCAATGCATACGCCAGAACCCTAATTTCACCAAATGACCAGTCGTGATATCTGGTGAGATCTCCTCCAGATGGTTGCTCTCGCCGGAGCTCTTGTTCTGAATGTGCAAAAAAGCACACCTTTTGGAGACAAAAAAGGCCAGCATTGCACCTTCGAGTTGTGTACTTCGCCGGATGAAGCCAATGCTCGAAAAGTCCATGCAAAAAAGTGACACGTCTCACCTCGCTCGCACTCCCCAGTTTTGTAACTAGGGCATGTAATGGCGGCATAATTGTACCTGCGAGGGTCACGGCGACGTGCCTTTTCTCTGCATGAGCGAAAGGGCATAGAGTCCAATAATGGTTACTCCGTCTTGGGCACTGTCTGACCTTGAATTCTTACATTCAAATTTCATCCGATTTGTACAGTGTCTGATCGATCAAATTGCCAAAACCATGATTCATGCTGCTCGACATTGTCAAGGATGATAGAATGGTTTTTTTATGATAAAATGGTGATGACTATGTAACAGAAAATGAATAAAACTCAAGTTGAATGCAAATGCAGTACTTATAAATCTAGAGTTTCAAGTTATCACAGTGGAAGCGGAAAAATACATTATTCTTTATGATAAAACATTAGAAAAATAAAGACGTTACTCTATTCTTTCCTAAAATTGCAAATAGTGCCGTTATTGTAAAATATTTGAACTATTACGAAAAAATTGATAGTACACAAAAACATTTCTGCAACAATTAACACTTTGCAGCCAAATAGTGCAAGAAAGTTGAAGAATAAAAAAAAGGATGAAATTGAGAAGCTGAGGAGAACACTGGAGAAGAGAAACCAGCTACTGTGTGTTAGAAGAAGCAGTGATGGAGATGCGAAGGAGGGTATGGGTATTTATAGCTAATAAACTAACCACCCTTGAGTTAAGTCTAACCATCATGAGTTAAAATTTGATCTACGTGTTGAGCCTCTATCTAATGGTAACGGACGTCTAGTGGGACTCCTAGGCCCCACAGCCATTGAATGTAGGATGGTCAGACGATGCATGCAATCATCAAGTGTGGTTTTTCTACATTTGCCATGCATGGTTTAGTTTGAAATATGGCTGCATGCACGTACCTAAAAAGGTGCACAAACCCTAGGTCATACAATCCAATACTAATTAAATGGAATAGGGAATCGTGCATATGTACGGAATTAATATGATAATGTTGGATATCATGGTCATGGATAATATAAGGAGTTCGTTTTTCNGGACAAAACATTTGGATTGATTCATTTTAAATGAATCATTAAAAACTAGCCACTTTTTTGACCAGCCAAACCCTAGACCTACCAAAGCTTAAAGTATAGCAAATATTCTTGGAGATGCATTTCTCTAGACAAAAACCACCAATAAGAAAATCTGGTATATAACTGGGATTATCTATGGATGATTATCTCTGTAGCAATTGTACAATTTAGACCCTCCTGATCTCAATTGTAGTGCTTAATACAATAAAGGGAAAATTAAAAAAAATATATATATACATATACATCCCCTCTTACGAACATTCACCAAAGCAATGAACTAGATATAACCAAATCCGTTAAGAGTCTAAAATCATCAAAGCTAGTAAGCCAATGCAGTCAGCATTTATAGCAAGAGAAGAGAATGATATAGCATTGTTCGTGAATGTTTGTGTGTTTGAAGAGGCAGAGAGAGACGAGGGGAAGAGAGTACAGGTTTTCTTCTAACAGTAACAAGTAATCACCACAATCACGCGAAATTTGGACTCGAGATTAAAATATTAGACATTAAATACACATAATTAACTAGAAACCACGAGAACAAATTAAACTCATTTTTTTAGCAGCTTGAAAGATCGTATGAATTTACACTCTATACCAAGTTTGACCACTTAGTCAACCCATACAGAGGAGTTACATGCCTTTTTGACAAAATTAGTCAACTTTGCATCACTAGANTTTTTAGCAGCTTGAAAGATCGTATGAATTTACACTCTATACCAAGTTTGACCACTTTGTCAACCCATACAGAGGAGTTACATGCCTTTTTGACAAAATTAGTCAACTTTGCATCACTAGTNAGTTCAAAAACAAACTTGGTAAGTTTGTTTATGAATTTTTAGCTTACCTTATTAATAGACGTTGGATCATGATCTAACGGATTATATAAAAAATATCCACCAAAAACTATGGCACAAAACTTTCATGATTGTGCTAGAGAGAGATGAGGCGAGAGATTTCGCTAAGAAATTTTATCAAAAATCCAATATAGCATTTAACTAGAACCATTCGTCTAATAAGACTAATTCCATAATATTTTTTAGATGGGTAATTCTTTATGCACCAAAATTTGTACCAAATTAACTACAATCCTTAGATCAGCAATGGGACCTACTAATCTAAAAGTTGCAAGTAATTTAGTGTAAATTTTGATGCACATAGCATTTCTCTTTTTAGACAACTGGACAAAACATTTGGATTGATTCATTTTAAATGAATCATTAAAAACTAGCCACTTTTTTGACCAGCCAAACCCTAGACCTACCAAAGCTTAAAGTATAGCAAATATTCTTGGAGATGCATTTCTCTAGACAAAAACCACCAATAAGAAAATCTGGTATATAACTGGGATTATCTATGGATGATTATCTCTGTAGCAATTGTACAATTTAGACCCTCCTGATCTCAATTGTAGTGCTTAATACAATAAAGGGAAAATTAAAAAAAATATATATATACATATACATCCCCTCTTACGAACATTCACCAAAGCAATGAACTAGATATAACCAAATCCGTTAAGAGTCTAAAATCATCAAAGCTAGTAAGCCAATGCAGTCAGCATTTATAGCAAGAGAAGAGAATGATATAGCATTGTTCGTGAATGTTTGTGTGTTTGAAGAGGCAGAGAGAGACGAGGGGAAGAGAGTACAGGTTTTCTTCTAACAGTAACAAGTAATCACCACAATCACGCGAAATTTGGACTCGAGATTAAAATATTAGACATTAAATACACATAATTATCTAGAAACCACGAGAACAAATTAAACTCATTTTTTTAGCAGCTTGAAAGATCGTATGAATTTACACTCTATACCAAGTTTGACCACTTTGTCAACCCATACAGAGGAGTTACATGCCTTTTTGACAAAATTAGTCAACTTTGCATCACTAGTGTCGGCCCGAATGATTAATTTTCAATATCGGCCAGGTTAAGTTATAATTAAACCAAATAAGATTATGACAAAATAAAATCGTTCAGAATCGATCCCCACTTTTGTGAGTCATAAATTGACCACAATTAAAATGTAACTAAATGTCAATCGTAACATGACTCTAATTGAATTGTAATTAATCCCGATTGAGCTGTAACTTCAGGTACGGAACCATATTCGGAGGGGGTACCAGAATAGGGACNAAATGTAACAAAATTAAAAAATGGGTTCATATAAAATATCAATTTATAACCCTGTCAGTCAATTTTACATAAATGTAATCTAAAATATAAATACTATTGGTAGTTATATATACCCTTGTTACATTCTTCTATGAGGATTAGTTGATATGCACATACGTTGCACGTGAATCATTAAATATCAAATATTTTAAACATTTTGATGTAAAGATCATATATAGTGGCACGATCATGGAAGTACTGCACCGTATTCTCAAGTGGATATTTTGTATGCAATCCATTAGATCATGATCCAACGTCCATTAATGAGGTAAGCTAAAAATTCAATAGACAAACACACCAAGTTTGGTTATGAATTAGAAAGGAAACATCAAAAGCATATTGATTATGGGTTAAATGATATATGAAAACTATATTTAATATTATAATCTAATCAAATCTTTTAAAATGAATAAAAAAAAAAAAGTTAAGTATTGTTGGCTTTGTCAAGTTATGAAAGGTAAAAAGAAAAAAATAAGAAAATTCTTATAACATCATCAACATGATTGCTGTAAAAGTATTAAAAACTCAAAACTACGGGCATGCACATCATCAACATGATTGGATATAGAAATTAAAATTTACTTTAGGAAAAAAAATAATGTTATTTAGGCGTATTTGACTATAATGAAAATAAAAATCTCTGATACAATAATGTACTACTGGATATGAGATGTCAAGTAACATGCCATTTTGTAATCACCCAACTTTGTCTAATTCAGGAGGATAAAAATGAGATAAAGGCCAAGAATGTTTCTATTTAACCATCTTCTCTTAGCCAACAATTTTATTTTAATTTTTTAATATTAAAAGATTTAATTTGATTATAAGTGTAAGTATAATTTGCATATATCATTTAACCTATAATTAATATGTTATTGAAGTTTCTTTTTTAGTTCAAAAACAAACTTGGTAAGTTTGTTTATGAATTTTTAGCTTACCTTATTAATAGACGTTGGATCATGATCTAACGGATTATATAAAAAATATCCACCAAAAACTATGGCACAAAACTTTCATGATTGTGCTAGAGAGAGATGAGGCGAGAGATTTCGCTAAGAAATTTTATCAAAAATCCAATATAGCATTTAACTAGAACCATTCGTCTAATAAGACTAATTCCATAATATTTTTTAGATGGGTAATTCTTTATGCACCAAAATTTGTACCAAATTAACTACAATCCTTAGATCAGCAATGGGACCTACTAATCTAAAAGTTGCAAGTAATTTAGTGCAAATTTTGGTGCACATAGCATTTCTCTTTTTAGACAACTGGACAAAACATTTGGATTGATTCATTTTAAATGAATCATTAAAAACTAGCCACTTTTTTGACCAGCCAAACCCTAGACCTACCAAAGCTTAAAGTATAGCAAATATTCTTGGAGATGCATTTCTCTAGACAAAAACCACCAATAAGAAAATCTGGTATATAACTGGGATTATCTATGGATGATTATCTCTGTAGCAATTGTACAATTTAGACCCTCCTGATCTCAATTGTAGTGCTTAATACAATAAAGGGAAAATTTAAAAAATATACATATACATCCCCTCTTACGAACATTCACCAAAGCAATGAACTAGATATAACCAAATCCGTTAAGAGTCTAAAATCATCAAAGCTAGTAAGCCAATGCAGTCAGCATTTATAGCAAGAGAAGAGAATGATATAGCATTGTTCGTGAATGTTTGTGTGTTTGAAGAGGCAGAGAGAGACGAGGGGAAGAGAGTACAGGTTTTCTTCTAACAGTAACAAGTAATCACCACAATCACGCGAAATTTGGACTCGAGATTAAAATATTAGACATTAAATACACATAATTATCTAGAAACCACGAGAACAAATTAAACTCATTTTTTTAGCAGCTTGAAAGATCGTATGAATTTACACTCTATACCAAGTTTGACCACTTTGTCAACCCATACAGAGGAGTTACATGCCTTTTTGACAAAATTAGTCAACTTTGCATCACTAGTGTCGGCCCGAATGATTAATTTTCAATATCGGCCAGGTTAAGTTATAATTAAACCAAATAAGATTATGACAAAATAAAATCGTTCAGAATCGATCCCCACTTTTGTGAGTCATAAATTGACCACAATTAAAATGTAACTAAATGTCAATCGTAACATGACTCTAATTGAATTGTAATTAATCCCGATTGAGCTGTAACTTCAGGTACGGAACCATATTCGGAGGGGGTACCAGAATAGGGACACCCTGAAGACACAAGGAAAAGCATTAGCAGAATGAAAATCATTGTCCCAGAAAAAGCATTACTAGCCTATTCCCTGTCCTCTGCTATCCAATACCATATTTCCAAAACACATTGANACACCCTGAAGACACAAGGAAAAGCATTAGCAGAATGAAAATCATTGTCCCAGAAAAGGCATTACTAGCCTATTCCCTGTCCTCTGCTATCCAATACCATTTTTCCAAAACACATTGGCATTTGTCAGGAATTTTTGACTACATAAGAGGCAAATACACTTTGTTAACTGGACAAAATTGCCAAACAAACTTGTAACTCACTACATCAAACTGAGTTAGCAGGTGGAAAAAGCTATACCATTTCTTCCCTTTGAGTTTTTTTTGTATTCAAAATATAAAAACTTAAATTACACCATTTCCAATAATTTAAATTTTTGAAGTAAATAGTTGCTTAACATAGTGNGGACAAAATTGCCAAACAAACTTGTAACTCACTACATCAAACTGAGTTAGCAGGTGGAAAAAGCTATACCACTTCTTCCCTTTTTGAGTTTTTTTTGTATTCAAAATATAAAAACTTAAATTACACCATTTCCAATAATTTAAATTTTTGAAGTAAATAGTTGTTTAACATAGTTTCAGACCAAAAAGTCATGTGTTTGAATCTCGCCGCCACCCTAATTATTAAAAAAATTTACACGTGCTAAGCCTAAAATCTAACCTCCACACATGATGAGGCGTGGCGAAGTATAAATACTTGTGGTACACTAGCCTCTTTCAAATCANTTTTTGAAGTAAATAGTTGCTTAACATAGTGTCAGACCAAAAAGTCATGTGTTTGAATCTCGCCGCCACCCTAATTATTAAAAAAATTTACACGTGCTAAGCCTAAAATCTAACCTCCACACATGATGAGGCGTGGTGAAGTATAAATACTTGTGTAACACTAGCCTCTTTCAAATCGTTTTTATTTTCTATGATTGAGGAGTTTATAAATGAATAATATACTGATCATGATTTTTACAAGTACAGGGTACAAAAATAACAATAAAAGTTTAGGCCACCAAGCAAAAGTTAAAAGAGCCCTAGTTGGGTGCAACAGAACTAAAAATGAGATGTTCAGGATGAGTAAATTAGTCAGTAAACTTATCCTCATTGCTATCAATGGATTTTACCAGTGCCAATAAATAAACTCACCTCTTTAGCTTCTCACAATATCCATGTCTTGGCTCTGGCATCGTTCAAGTATTCTATTACAATTGTTCAGGGTTCGCGCATCAAGGAGACCATGATTCCATAATTTGATCATAAATAATCTCCAGCACCTGCAAATAAGATGAACAAATCATAGTACAGACCATGATCATAATTGTAAGAAAAAAGTAGAAAATGGATGAGGTGTGAGAACACTTGTAACCAAAAAATCAGTAGACAACTCAGTAACTCTCAAGCCTAGTCGTCTACAGGCATGGAAATGGATACGTCATGATAGGGATCTATGGACACAGCAAAGACACAATAATATGAATATATATATCATCAAGTGAAACATCAATTTTTTATTTAAAATATCATGTATTACTCAATTTCGAAACACAGAGACTATCATAACAAAATCACAAAACGAAAAGAATATGAGCTTTTAGCATAATGGGTATGTTTTCAGCAATCACAAGGTGAAAATGTTGAAAGACGAGATATGTCATCAAACGTAATGGTGGTGGTACACTAATCCAGTTTTCTTTTCTTTTTCTGGTATTCATTTTACTTTTTATGCTAACAATATAAGGGCTTTTATCATTCGCATTTTACATACATTTTTGCCCATTTTTTTCAATTAAAAAAAGTATCCTGGACGTGTCCCCAGAGTGANGGGCTTTTATCATTCGCATTTTACATACATTTTTGCCCATTTTTTTCAATTAAAAAAAGCATCCTGAACGTGTCCCCAGTGTGCCCCGAATCTGTCCGAAAAGATCTGAATGTGTCCAAAGTTCTTTTCAAATTTTCACACTTTTTTACATGTCAGACATCTACCACACTGGAGAGGTGTACGTGCCTCCTAGATAGCCATACATCATCAAGATTCAGGTAAGGAGTTGAACTACAATATGTAATGAATGTCATCCGTGGACAGATACATGAAAAGAGCTAGGCACAATCAGATAAACCCTAAGTATATGACAAAGGGCAGAAATGGAGTATGCTTTGCCACAACTTAAAACCAGAGATGGGAGAAGCTACCAAAGAAGGGCTGGCGCCCGGACAAGATCTTGACCATGCAATTCTGAAAATGCTTCGCATGCCCAAGGAATATGACCATCTGCCAGTACCCTGCCACCATGTCAAACAAAGTATATCCTGAGAAAGGAAGCATACGAGTACAGCAAATTGGAACTTAATAATGCTAACGACACCACAAAAAGGCCAAAAAAATATGTGATGGATGAGCATATATATTGTGCATACATGCAAATACCCACACCACAGAATAAACTATTATTGAACATAGAGCCCACCCAAAGAACCCATTAACCAGGACCCCCATTAACCAGGACCCGTGAACCCTGGCTAATACAAGATGGTTAGCCCAAAAGACAAAAACAAATTCCATCAATCATAATAAAAGATTTATTGAAGGTCATCTGCTGGAGCCAAAAAAAAAACAGTAGATAAAGATAATCCCTTTTACCTCAAGAAGAGACAAAGCTGCAATAAATTACCTGGTTTTGTGCACAGAAAGACCCATGCAAGGAAGAACATCATAAACAGAAAAGAATGAGGAAATGTAGAACCAAAAAGTTGAGAAAGAAGATTACCGTTGCTTTCTCACAAATGAGTTCCAGAGATGCATCATTTGCTTTTCGTCTTTAGTAACATCCACAAAATCATCTAGCATCTGCAACATACCGGTGTATTAATGTTAACAAGTACTAACTGAGGTTGTTAACAAACAAAGAAATCTCAGGTAATGCTGGTCCCATAATCCACATTGCCAGATGAATGGAATTTGCGAGGCATCTTTGGCTTGAAGCTGAAGCCCAAACAGAATAGATTGTGCCACAAATTGTAATGCTTTTGTTAAGCATTACTTACAGCCAAAGACTTTCCATATATCATAAATATGTGCCTCATGGGCAAAACAAACATAGTTTTTTTTTTTTTTTTTTTTTGGGGGGGGGGGGGGGGGGGGGGTGGAGATACTTGAACCCTTGACCTCAATAAGGCAAAGCCTTCACAAAACAAGGAGTACCATTAGACCAAAGGCCCATTGGTGAACATAGTTAGAGATCAAAAACCATTTGACATGAGTGACTTCATAATGTTGCAGATATTAAAAGAGTTCATAGAACCAAAATTCAACAAGAAAAAAAAAAGAAAAGGAAAATAGAATTTCAATTCAACAGGAGCAAGAGTTCACGATATGTATTGCTGACCATCAACCCAACATTAAAACTTTATGAAATCACACACGATACCTAGACGGTGGAATGACCACCGAGGCAAGGATCAAAATTTCGTTTCACCTCCACTGAAAGGGCCAATACATTTCGGTTTCTCAGGAAACCGTAAGTTATCAATGATGACATCATCAGAAGAAAAACCCATGTTTCAGAATTTGCTAGAATCAAAATTCCAATTTTTTCATGTTTCCATCATGTGTTTTAGCTAATGAAAATTATGCACCGAAACGAAGTATTAATTCTTGGGCTGAAGTTTACCAAGATTGCCTAGTGGTTATGCAGACAAATAAAGTTTAACCGCAAAAAAAAAAAAATGAGAAGCCTAGTAGTTATGCATTTCAAACTCATGCAACAAAAAGTTAACCATATAAAATCCCTTGGACAGCTAAAATATTGAGAGAAAGATTGTAGTAGAACCATTTGATAGCTCTAAAGTACTACACTAAACAACACGACATTATATTAGTCAGATAATTAGCAGTTCCACCCTACCAAGGACTCAATGCCAGGTATTCCCAACAATAACTGTCAAAATTCCTATAAACTGATGAAGGTAAAGGAAAACAATATGCCATTATTTAGTTTTGGCGGTTGGGCTTTCAAAGCCAAGTGACACCAAATTAAGTTAACCATCTTTGTCAGTCATTTTTAACTACACTTTATCTAAATCCCAGAGTTTTCCAATATAATTTGATATTACTGCTAAATCATTATAACTAATTTTAATGCCTTTTTGTGGAGGTTAAAAAAAAAATTCTCAACACCTGTCTCCTATAAAACATGTCCCAGAGATGCAAAATTATGAAATATTTAATTATCCATTTAAAATGTTAAATTGAGCGTATATGGTCTCCAGAGAGTAAAATGAAGTGCTTACCAATTTAAAAATCTTCTGAACCCAAAAAAAGAAGCAGCACTACGAAATAAATGAATATACACCCACAATAAAGGTCGTTCTACTACTTAATATCACAATTGCAAGATAACTGGAAAGGGCTTAAACATCACTTCTCAAATATGCACGGATGTTCCAAGAAAATGAACATTTTATTTTACTGAAATCCTTTCTGATTATTTTTTCCTTTTTTTCAATGATAAACTTGCTACTATTTTACAAAATTAAAAAACCAATAAAAGCAGCACTGCACAGATGCATGGGAGGTCACAGTCATGTGCAACCTCATGTACACTCAGAGACATACCCAACACACTACCAAAAACAGAGACGGCGAGCAGTGAAATAAAGTTCATGATAATATACCCGTCTATCTTCAAAATCTGCAACATCATCATCAACTTCATCTTCACTGTCCCGATCCGACAAAACTTGCTCCAATGCCATTGGCTTCAATGGTCACAATTTTCATCTTCAGATACTTAAATGCATGGATTCTATGAATCATGTAAATCTAAGATAATGAAGAGAGAAAAGAGTATTTTAAAGGTATCATCTATATTATATANTGCTAACGACACCACAAAAAGGCCAAAAAAATATGTGATGGATGAGCATATATATTGCGCATACATGCAAATACCCACACCACAGAATAAACTATTATTGAACATAGAGCCCACCCAAAGAACCCATTAACCAGGACCCCCATTAACCAGGACCCGTGAACCCTGGCTAATACAAGATGGTTAGCCCAAAAGACAAAAACAAATTCCATCAATCATAATAAAAGATTTATTGAAGGTCATCTGCTGGAGCCAAAAAAAAAACAGTAGATAAAGATAATCCCTTTTACCTCAAGAAGAGACAAAGCTGCAATAAATTACCTGGTTTTGTGCACAGAAAGACCCATGCAAGGAAGAACATCATAAACAGAAAAGAATGAGGAAATGTAGAACCAAAAAGTTGAGAAAGAAGATTACCGTTGCTTTCTCACAAATGAGTTCCAGAGATGCATCATTTGCTTTTCGTCTTTAGTAACATCCACAAAATCATCTAGCATCTGCAACATACCGGTGTATTAATGTTAACAAGTACTAACTGAGGTTGTTAACAAACAAAGAAATCTCAGGTAATGCTGGTCCCATAATCCACATTGCCAGATGAATGGAATTTGCGAGGCATCTTTGGCTTGAAGCTGAAGCCCAAACAGAATAGATTGTGCCACAAATTGTAATGCTTTTGTTAAGCATTACTTACAGCCAAAGACTTTCCATATATCATAAATATGTGCCTCATGGGCAAAACAAACATAGTTTTTTTTTTTTTTTTTTTTTGGGGGGGGGGGGGGGGGGGGTGGAGATACTTGAACCCTTGACCTCAATAAGGCAACGCCTTCACAAAACAAGGAGTACCATTAGACCAAAGGCCCATTGGTGAACATAGTTAGAGATCAAAAACCATTTGACATGAGTGACTTCATAATGTTGCAGATATTAAAAGAGTTCATAGAACCAAAATTCAACAAGAAAAAAAAAAGAAAAGGAAAATAGAATTTCAATTCAACAGCAGCAAGAGTTCACGATATGTATTGCTGACCATCAACCCAACATTAAAACTTTATGAAATCACACACGATACCTAGACGGTGGAATGACCACCGAGGCAAGGATCAAAATTTCGTTTCACCTCCACTGAAAGGGCCAATACATTTCGGTTTCTCAGGAAACCGTAAGTTATCAATGATGACATCATCAGAAGAAAAACCCATGTTTCAGAATTTGCTAGAATCAAAATTCCAATTTTTTCATGTTTCCATCATGTGTTTTAGCTAATGAAAATTATGCACCGAAACAAAGTATTAATTCTTGGGCTGAAGTTTACCAAGATTGCCTAGTGGTTATGCAGACAAATAAAGTTTAACCGCAAAAAAAAAAAAATGAGAAGCCTAGTAGTTATGCATTTCAAACTCATGCAACAAAAAGTTAACCATATAAAATCCCTTGGACAGCTAAAATATTGAGAGAAAGATTGTAGTAGAACCATTTGATAGCTCTAAAGTACTACACTAAACAACACGACATTATATTAGTCAGATAATTAGCAGTTCCACCCTACCAAGGACTCAATGCCAGGTATTCCCAACAATAACTGTCAAAATTCCTATAAACTGATGAAGGTAAAGGAAAACAATATGCCATTATTTAGTTTTGGCGGTTGGGCTTTCAAAGCCAAGTGACACCAAATTAAGTTAACCATCTTTGTCAGTCATTTTTAACTACACTTTATCTAAATCCCAGAGTTTTCCAATATAATTTGATATTACTGCTAAATCATTATAACTAATTTTAATGCCTTTTTGTGGAGGTTAAAAAAAAAATTCTCAACACCTGTCTCCTATAAAACATGTCCCAGAGATGCAAAATTATGAAATATTTAATTATCCATTTAAAATGTTAAATTGAGCGTATATGGTCTCCAGAGAGTAAAATGAAGTGCTTACCAATTTAAAAATCTTCTGAACCCAAAAAAAGAAGCAGCACTACGAAATAAATGAATATACACCCACAATAAAGGTCGTTCTACTACTTAATATCACAATTGCAAGATAACTGGAAAGGGCTTAAACATCACTTCTCAAATATGCACGGATGTTCCAAGAAAATGAACATTTTATTTTACTGAAATCCTTTCTGATTATTTTTTCCTTTTTTTCAATGATAAACTTGCTACTATTTTACAAAATTAAAAAACCAATAAAAGCAGCACTGCACAGATGCATGGGAGGTCACAGTCATGTGCAACCTCATGTACACTCAGAGACATACCCAACACACTACCAAAAACAGAGACGGCGAGCAGTGAAATAAAGTTCATGATAATATACCCGTCTATCTTCAAAATCTGCAACATCATCATCAACTTCATCTTCACTGTCCCGATCCGACAAAACTTGCTCCAATGCCATTGGCTTCAATGGTCACAATTTTCATCTTCAGATACTTAAATGCATGGATTCTATGAATCATGTAAATCTAAGATAATGAAGAGAGAAAAGAGTATTTTAAAGGTATCATCTATATTATATACCAGGCACTCAGGCAGTTAACTAGATAAATACTGACAGATCAGTTTTTCTCTTTTTTCCCCCTTTTTTCGATAAGAAAATAAGAGAAAGCCCTTCGGAGAAAAAGGTATCATGGTTAATATATCCCATTGAGAAGCTCGGATTAAAATCCCAAACTCCAAGTTTTAAAACCCATAAATAGGTAAATATAGGTGAAACTACATCAATTGATCTCCTGCAAAAAAATAATCATAGAACCCTTTCAATATTAAATCTCCACCCCCAGACCACCTTGTGAATTACTAACTTGAAATTCAGAATTTCACCAACATGTATTCTTTATCAGAGAATTGCATGCATAGATAGAAAAGATCACAGATGAGCAAACAAAATCATATATGTAAAGAACGAGACTTGTCACCTGAGCTTTGTGTGAGTGAAAGAACTGCCGCTTCTGCAGGAGCGCACGGCTGAAGGAGAAACAATTTTTTTTTGTTTTGATAAGAAACAAATCTTTCATTTCATAGAAAGAAGCAAAAGTACATAAATAGTGGATAAGAAATCGACCAAGAAAAGCAAAAATAAAGCAAACTAGCAACTACAAACAGCTTAGTATACATCACGGGGGAAACATGATCTCATAGGAAGGCAGTATTCTTATACATGCACCAAGTTAATAGCATCAATACTGAGATTCACAATATACAAACTTCTACGATATTCAACTATAATCACATAACTAATTGACTCAATACTTTGATCCATAATTCTTTTTTTTAAAAAGTATATAAACTAATTGGATTGGATTTCCACTCCTTTAGGATACATAACACTTCGACAAAATATGAAGACACAAGCAGTCCAAAGGTCTGACTCAACCTGACACACTTGATTAAATCAAGGACAAACTAAGACAAGAGCCCTCATAAAGGGCAGCATGCCTTGACAAGTGAATCAGATGGTACAAAAATGGTCTTCAAAATAAATCAAGGCGGCCCCCTGACCCCTACAATTTACTTCCTGCACATAACCATTCACATAAGCTACTGAATACTGGAAAATCCTGAAGTTTAGTCCATTTACAAAGATTGAGACCCAAGAGCGTTGCACTACGGTGCCCCTAGAAACACAACCCAAAAATTTCTGTGTGATTGCTCACAAAACAAATTTTGTAACATTAGACAACCTGATGACCTCCCGGCAACATTAGGACTAGCGCAGGGGGCAGGCACTCCACAGATTAAAAGATCCACATAGATTAAAAGAAAAAAAAAAAGGCCAGTGAACATACTTTCTGGGGTCAGAGCGTTCAACAGATAACTTTCTTGTCTTTGCAAATTGTAGCATGGCAGGAGGTGCAAGATTGCTTCCAGGTACTGGCTGAGCGCATTCAGGTTCTGCATATGAGTGAGATGTAGCAGTTGAAATCCCTGTGACATTAGGGCTGGATGTATCACGTTCTGCGCAATCTGCAATACCTTAAGTAGTACCATGTAAATCATTCCCACTTAGAATACCAGCCTATCACCATTACCGACACTATTGACTGAAACACTAGGTCATTCAACACATAAAAAGGAGCACAAGGAACCACGCCCATGTGCATGACAACTACTTGTTCTGCATAGTAGCATTTTCATCTTGGTATAGGGCTAAAGCAAAAGTAACTGCTTCTCAACAAATGTTAGCAGACAGACACCACAATCTATTTAGGATATGAACACCACAAAATAATTGCAAGTATACTTCCTGTCCAGAATCTGCAAAATAACAGTGTGAAGTGCATCACAGAACTCAACACGTGTCTTTGACGATNAAGATACCTCAACCCCACCTGAAAATTGATTTTTTTATGCTAAACACCACAATCCCTACCTCAAAGATACCTCTACCACATATGCTAAACACCTTAATCCCCACCTCAAAATTGATTTTTTTTATGCCTATAGCTAAATTCATTGTCATGTGTAGTTGATTGCTAAGAAAGGAGGAGTGTGGTGAGCAAGGTATGTGAACTTTTTTCCTTTTTTGCTAAAGTTTTCCCAATCAACAAAAAAATAGAAGAAAAAAAGAATTGAAAAGGCAAAGAAGAACAATCGAAGAACACAAATCAAAGGAGAGTGAAACTAGGTCGCAATTTTCCAGGTTTGCTTTGAATTTCTTTTGCTTTTTCAATTTCTTCCCCTTTTTCTTGTTCCTTTGTTGTTGTTTTGGCTGGTTGTTTGTCGATTTTCAAGGTCTTTGTCATTCATCACGAGTCATTCAACTTGGGGTGACAAGTTTCTTCAAGTTGTATCTAAGTCAAATGGATTCCACGGAATTATATCCGAATCAAGGCTGATTTGCATGGGACTCGTAAATTTTGTGGATCGTGTATCGTTATCCATTCGGTAAGGGCCAAGTCATATTGGAGTAGGCCAATATATTGAACCCCAGTGTAGATGACTGCAGAAGTCAGAACCACACTGTAATGTTTTTTCTTCACTGCCAAAAAGCATATTCATAAGTTAGGGTATGTGTGTGTGGTGTTAATAAATGCATGTACCCATGTACGTCGGTATCTATGGAAGTATTCGTTGTTTTATATGAACAAATGCAAGTTTAACTGATTTAATACAATAATGATATCCATATTTACTTTCAGGATGAATATATTGTCCTGACCTCAGACCTCCATACATCAGTTCTCACAGATACATTAACAGCTTGATACTCTTCAGTTAGCTGCATGAAATGCATAAAATTAGGTGTTATGGTTCAGAAAAAGTTGACCACCGAATATCATAACAGAGTCCTGAAGTTTACCAACCCAAAATTCAAAGTTGAATAGATCATGTGATGACGACAAGTGATACCTCAGACCCTACAGAAAGTCAGATATTCGTAAGGATCAACCATGAATTAATGTTAGCTTTTACTTCTTCAAGCAAGAAAATGAAAAAAAAAAGATAGAAATCAGAATCAGACCCACCTTAAAGCTTGCACATTTTACCAAGCAGAACGGACAGGAGAAGTCTTCTGTCACTGCAAGTACAGTATTAATGTCAGATATATTACCCAAACTTCAAAAGACACGTAACATGAGTTGGAAGAGAGGTGGGTCGGAAGAAAGTCATCCTATATTCATAAACTACACTGAAAAATCATAAAAAAGGATTGCTCCCAACTACTAACAGTCCAATCATTAAACCCACACGAAAAAGCTAGCATACAAAACAACTAGGTTCTGAACTGTGAACAGGTGTAGAAGATGAATGTTTATGCAGAGACAGACAATTATATATATCGCAAATTCGCTTACCAAAACGATTTACAAGAGGACAGNGATACCTCAGACCCTACAGAAAGTCAGATATTCGTAAGGATCAACCATGAATTAATGTTAGCTTTTACTTCTTCAAGCAAGAAAATGAAAAAAAAAAGATAGAAATCAGAATCAGACCCACCTTAAAGCTTGCACATTTTACCAAGCAGAACGGACAGGAGAAGTCTTCTGTCACTGCAAGTACAGTATTAATGTCAGATAAATAACCCAAACTTCAAAAGACACGTAACATGAGTTGGAAGAGAGGTGGGTCGGAAGAAAGTCATCCTATATTCATAAACTACATTGAAAAATCATAAAAAAGGATTGCTCCCAACTACTAACAGTCCAATCATTAAACCCACACGAAAAAGCTAGCATACAAAATAACTAGGTCCTGAACTGTGAACAGGTGTAGAAGATGTATGTTTATGCAGAGACAGACAATTATATATATCGCAAATTCGCTTACCAAAACGATTTACAAGAGGACAATGCCACTTGCAAAGTTCAAACTGATTACAGAGAAGTATTCATGTCCGTGGGTGCAAAGAATCCGGAGAACCAAAGTGTTAGAACCATTTGGTCACTGACACATATGCTTGCTCAAGAATTGTCTTCCACCAAACTGATCTAGAGGCCATGAAAAGCATTGCAGCCATGTCAATTGCCTGTGTTGTTATTGTTACCATTTAAGTATAGTAATCTACCGTACAAGGGTATTACGATCATCCTCAAAGCTTGTTCCTAATCATGACATATCATGATAGCAGTAAAGAAACTTTCATATGCATCAGAGGAAAAACTGATCCTGTCCACTAGCCTTCTTGCTACTACTCTCTTTGCCATTTGTCTCGAATACTTTTTTCTAATTTTTTCTCATAGTGCTTGAATAATCTACTCCTTTTTGCTTCCTTTCCTCAACTAGGAATTCCACCTAGTAGGGTGCAATTTCCCAGATACACAATCTTAGATAAGTTGAGTCGGTCATGCATGTCATTGGGTGGGATGCAAATGTCACTCCATGTATGGAATGTTGAGGTCTAAAACTGGCTACATCACTCAGCTTAAGAAATGGAATTGGAAAATGAACCATAGATGACATTGTTACCCATATGGTAAATATCAAAAGTCAGAACAATAATTGAATGCACTGAAATGTAAGGTTTTGAGCATGTTAACGGATTTAATATGTGACTGACAGCATGGATATCTTCAATCTGTAATTCTTATTCCATGCTTTGACTGGCCAGGTGTATTGGCTATTGAGTATAATGACTGCAGATGGTTCAGATAATGAAAATGGGTGCTTATCAATATCGAATACTTTTGTGGACTTATGTTCTTATTTTTTTTTTTTTTTTGGGGGGGGGGGGGGAGGAGAGACTTAAACCCTTGATCTCAAGAAGGCAAAGTCTTCACAAGGCAAGCAGTATCATTGGACCCAAGGCCCATTGGTTCTTATGTTCTTGTTACCAGTTCATTCTGTGATCTGTTTTCTCAGTTCTGTAATGGCTAGCTCCAGGGGCTCTAAACTCGCGCCTAATTGCTATATCTGAAGGAGCTGTAACGCAGCTTATTTCACAAAGCTAACGGTAATCATCGAAAGTAAAAACTAATTTGCTACTATGTTGTTCTAACATCAATGAAGTAACGTGCTTCAACAAGTTGCCAACACATTGGATCCTATACAGGTGGTCGTAACACTAGTTGCACCTTTCAGTGCCCAGAATAAAACAAATAAGTCACCAAAGTGATTTACTAAAACTGTCCATCATAAAAAAATGTGCCATTGACGACATGTTAAGCAAGACTGAAAAAAGGGTACAATTGAACCGCAATTGAGCAACGAAAAAATCTAGAAGGGCACAAAACACGCTGTCTCTCAAGATGGAAGAATTGTTTGCAACTGAACACTTGAAAGAAAGCACTAAACTCAGGTTCAAATTTTCAATTTGCAATCTCGAGTGCTACTGCAAGATTAAATTTGGCATCTAACAAACCATCTCCAAATGAAATGCTTAATACTAATTTCTTTTTTTCTATCCAAGTAAGAATCCAGCAGCTTTGTTGCAAGAAAGTCATGGCTTAAAACCTGTGACACAATATTCTACGAAGTCCACAGGACATGTTCAACTAATCCGATTGTGTATGATAAGTTTGAAAAGAATAAGTTCATAAGTTTCTTAGTCATCTTGGCACGGCCTAGACAATCACTACAAAGGTGTCATCAGAGCTCCTTGTGCTGCAGAGCATCTGTTTCTACAGCATTGTTTATTACATTTGGAAGAAAAGCTGAGGAGAAAAAAAAAAGTAATGAATAAAGAATATGAAAAACCAGACGAAATTAGAAGGATAGAGAATTGAAGCATTTACCACCTAAAAGTCACAAACAAAAAAAAAAAGAAAAAGCTACAGTACCTTCAGTTCTCTGCAACTTATTGTCATAGTACCGATAATTGAATATGACATTACCAGTCCTCAACCTAAACAACAGACCAAGACAAGATCACCAATTCATAGTGTAATAGTTTTCTAAATTGAGGAGTCCAACAAATATCAAGTTTAATGTGAGCAACACAATATATCTCCTTTTACCGCATTGTTTCAGCCCACTTGAAAAAATCACTTTCCAGAAACATAGCAACAAAGAATTTATAAAAGTTGAAAACACTAGTAATTATGGAAATGATGATAGCCAGGATAAATAGATTATTACTTGAGAAGGGAGAGGTGATAGACCTACCTATGTTGCAGGACATCAATGTGGAACTGAAACAATGGAAAAAAAGAAAAGAAGAGAGGGTGATGGGGGGGAAAACGCGTATTCTTCCCTGGTAGATTTCAGAACATGTGAACATTACATCGTACAACATACTCAATACCTACTTTATCCATCCAAAGAATGACTGAATAAAGATATCCAAAAAAGGAAAAATAAATAAAAAATTGTCCTTAGGGAATGAGTCGTGGTGGAGGATGGCAACAATGAAGGAAATTTGGCCCTTCCTTGTGGTGGAGTATGGTGACCATCTCCAGGTGGGCAACAAATCCTTCCACCTAAGCAATATATCGATTAGGTCCCATATTACTGGTTTTGCGTATGGTTTTCCAATATGAATCTGCATCTTAAATAAATTCTATCATGCTGGAAAGACATTTGAGAATGCGACCAATATGGGCAGGAGAGAAGAAAATTTTAGGGATAGAGATAACCTCAGTCAAACAAATTCCTCAGACAGACTGAGCTAGGGCCCATAAGGGGTTATCATAGATTAAATGTTAATGACATACTAGTTATTTATTTAAATTCCCGACAAGAATTAACATTACTAACCGTTCCCAAAGAGTTGAGAAAAGTATATTCAACATTGAACACCACAAACAAATTTTCAAAAAATAAAAGGAAAAAGAAATTTTACCTAATAATATGTGACAATGACGAAGTAGGTATTTCATTATATGAGTATAAATTATAAGGTGATCTCTCTTTTGCACCAACTTCCTCTCCAGATATTATGACTTGCAATTGCTTTGGCGTACTCTTTGGTAACAAAAAGCAAAATAAAAAGAGTGATTAATAACAGAAAAATGATTATGTTNGAAAGAAAAAGCTACAGTACCTTCAGTTCTCTGCAACTTATTGTCATAGTACCGATAATTGAATATGACATTACCAGTCCTCAACCTAAACAACAGACCAAGACAAGATCACCAATTCATAGTGTAATAGTTTTCTAAATTGAGGAGTCCAACAAATATCAAGTTTAATGTGAGCAACACAATATATCTCCTTTTACCGCATTGTTTCAGCCCACTTGAAAAAATCACTTTCCAGAAACATAGCAACAAAGAATTTATAAAAGTTGAAAACACTAGTAATTATGGAAATGATGATAGCCAGGATAAATAGATTATTACTTGAGAAGGGAGAGGTGATAGACCTACCTATGTTGCAGGACATCAATGTGGAACTGAAACAATGGAAAAAAAGAAAAGAAGAGAGGGTGATGGGGGGGAAAACGCGTATTCTTCCCTGGTAGATTTCAGAACATGTGAACATTACATCGTACAACATACTCAATACCTACTTTATCCATCCAAAGAATGACTGAATAAAGATATCCAAAAAAGGAAAAATAAATAAAAAATTGTCCTTAGGGAATGAGTCGTGGTGGAGGATGGCAACAATGAAGGAAATTTGGCCCTTCCTTGTGGTGGAGTATGGTGACCATCTCCAGGTGGGCAACAAATCCTTCCACCTAAGCAATATATCGATTAGGTCCCATATTACTGGTTTTGCGTATGGTTTTCCAATATGAATCTGCATCTTAAATAAATTCTATCGTGCTGGAAAGACATTTGAGAATGCGACCAATATGGGCAGGAGAGAAGAAAATTTTAGGGATAGAGATAACCTCGGTCAAACAAATTCCTCAGACAGACTGAGCTAGGGCCCATAAGGGGTTATCANTTACTGGTTTTGCGTATGGTTTTCCAATATGAATCTGCATCTTAAATAAATTCTATCATGCTGGAAAGACATTTGAGAATGCGACCAATATGGGCAGGAGAGAAGAAAATTTTAGGGATAGAGATAACCTCAGTCAAACAAATTCCTCAGACAGACTGAGCTAGGGCCCATAAGGGGTTATCATAGATTAAATGTTAATGACATACTAGTTATTTATTTAAATTCCCGACAAGAATTAACATTACTAACCGTTCCCAAAGAGTTGAGAAAAGTATATTCAACATTGAACACCACAAACAAATTTTCAAAAAATAAAAGGAAAAAGAAATTTTACCTAATAATATGTGACAATGACGAAGTAGGTATTTCATTATATGAGTATAAATTATAAGGTGATCTCTCTTTTGCACCAACTTCCTCTCCAGATATTATGACTTGCAATTGCTTTGGCGTACTCTTTGGTAACAAAAAGCAAAATAAAAAGAGTGATTAATAACAGAAAAATGATTATGTTGCATAATATTAAAAAATACCAGTAAAATATCCCAGCAAAACCAAACATAGACCAAGGGCAGAACATACCAGCGTACACGAATTATAGGGAACTTGGAAAGATATACATTTGCCTTCATCCAAAAAACTCGACTGCAAAAGGAAATCCAAACAATAATAGCAAAAAAGGGGAGGGAAGAAGAAGAAAGTGAATAAATCCTGCAGAAACAAATGCTGTATAATAAATTGATTTTGAACATCATTCATTATTCATAAAATCTTTATCCTATTGATTCAAAAACCAGAATTGAACTTTTCCCTCATATGTTAAAGCTGATTTTACTCAACTGAACAAAGTCTTATCCCTACCATTTGGAGTCTACTACATGAATCTTGTTTGGTCATTCTACTTTATCAAGGGTTATATTTTATGTTAGACCACAAACAACATGCAGAACTAATTTCAGTCAACCGCTACTTTTGACATTACTCTATCGATAGGTATCATATCTTGTCTACAAATGCAGCAATAAATATTCTGATAAACATTTCCAAGCCATCTAAGTTGATTTTTTATTCATCTATCTTCTATGGGTGCTACGTTTTCCATTTCACAAATACTATTCTTTCTGGTTTACTACACACCCATGTTTACATAATCATTATGTCACATTTAATTTTTGAGTGTATTGTTTTTTAGTTGCCCACCATTCTATACCATAACATTTTGTTGGTCTAATGGTTGTCTTATAGAACTAACTCTTAGTACAACCACAATATTCCTCCACTTAATCTACGATGCTTTGATTATGAGTAACATTGTANACATTTAATTTTTGAGTGTATTGTTTTTTAGTTGCCCACCATTCTATACCATAACATTTTGTTGGTCTAATGGTTGTCTTATAGAACTGACTCTTAGTACAACCACAATATTCCTCCACTTAATCTACGATGCTTTGATTATGAGTAACATTGTCTCAATTTGTTCTCCCTCTGTGAGGACAATTTATATCTTTCAAACTTCAATATGTACTATTTACCTATTTTCATGTCCACCTTTAATGAAATCACCATCCATATATCTAGTTTCTACTTGTCTTGACTCTTTTTTATTCTAAAGTTTCTCTTCAGACTTCCAATATATTAGTAATTCTTACTTTGATTTCATTGATCAATGTTATATCATCAGCAAATAATTCTAAACATGTCTAACTAATTTATCCATTACCAAAGGAAAAAATATGAACTTAAAGCAGAATACTCATAGTGCTACAGTAATTGAAAACTCACTGATCACTCTATAGTTGCTCTCACTGAATTCATTGCACCCTCTTACATACCTTTAATCATATCAATATTTGGATAAATACAAATGATGTGCTTCANTAATTGAAAACTCACTGATCACTCTATAGTTGCTCTCACTGAATTCATTGCACCCTCATACATACCTTTAATCATATCAATATTTGGATAAATACAAATGATGTGCTTCAATCACTTCTTTTCATTTCTCGACAATGGTGGGTCATGTGTGCATGTGCTAGTGTCTAGTTAGACTATTGATCACTTGTTCTTGCATTGCCCTATTCCTTTGTTCTTATCGTCCAAACCATTTCAAGTAGCTGGTTTGAGTTGGGTGATTCCTAGGACATTTTCAACAATGCTGGTGGAGGAATTTGAAGGGTTAGGCAGCATAAAAAGGTGATGACCCAATGACATTGTGTTTTTCTTGCCATCATATGGTTGGAAAGGAACTCTAGGATCTTTTAAAATAGGGGAGAGTGGAAGAAAGGTTTATGGGAGCGCATCTATTTTTTGGTATCGGTGCAGGCTTCCGTTACAAAGAAGCATGATGGCATTTCGCTATTTTATATTTTTTGTCCATCCATAGAACTTTTTGATGTATCCTTTTTTCACTTTAAATCAATAAAATTCTTTTGTTCCCTATCGAAAAAAATATACCTATTTGCAACTCTTTTCTTCTCTAAAATGACAAAACCCAGCATATTATGTCCATAGGAAGTTAGGAACTCCAACATATGTTTTCTCTAAGTCTATAAAAACTGTATGTAAAGATATTAAAGCATGCCCAGACAAACAACAAATTATATAACAACCGCAAAATGTTAAACATAACATTTGTCTAATCCAGAAAATATCAAATACTTAATGGTGACTCTACAAACAGAGTTTTACATAATTTCATTCCCTATGTGCACAACAACACTTGGTAACTTCTTTACATTGGCATAAACAATATGCAACTTTACCATAATGTACCCTAGAAAACTTTCGTCCCCTGATAGAAACAAATTAAAATATTTTTGCAACACTAATTTACATATTGCAGAAGGCAACTAGGATGTTAACGTAAAAATAACAACATTTTAGTGAGAGCACCAAAAGGGAAGGAAAAACAAAAAAGAAAAAGGCAGACAAATAGAAAGTTGTACGTGACTCTGGTATCAAAATTCGACTCCATATTGACAACTAAGAAAGGGGGAGCAGCTTTTATGTTGGCAGCCATTAGCCCCTTCTGGAATTTGCAAGAAAATGGTACTGATGCTGTTATGTACAAATACTTGATGAAAGAAAAAATTCAGTAACCTGGCAGAGTCCCCGAGCACAGGGACAGCAGTAATCTAACCAAGTGCTTAGGGTTGCCATGATAATATGCAATGGTAATCAAACATGGAAATCCAAGATCAAAGGGCAACTACAGAAAAATTATAACAGACAATACATCCCAAACTTCACAACCGCTCAAACAATCAAAACAAGAGAAAGAAAATCCAACTGTTTATGCTTATAAAAGACAAAATCAGCCTCGAGTACATACTACATACACTCCGGGAAGACCTAGTGTAAAATATAAACTAGGAGAAGAAACGGAAAGACAGTTTTCAATTATTAAGGATTCATCATAAGTGTATTAATAACTATGATGCAACACAACTATCAAAGTGACATGACCAAAACAAAGTTTCAACATTATGTAAAATAGAGGTCCGCTTGAATTTTCAATCCTAGTTTGCCATTAAGTTTACATCCACATCCCCCATATCACCATCAAATCCTTAAAAATCATGTGCTTTTTTCATAGGTGAACTGTGTTCTCTCCCTTTATCCGACTTGAACCGAAGTACCAAACTACTTCAGTAGACCAAAGCATTTATTGGGTCCACATTGACATCGCACAAGCAGACCACTTGTGAAGACTTCCATACTTGTCTCAGTTGATGCCACCTCTAATTTCTCGTGAATGCATCCATGTATTATGCTAAATTTCCTACCACCGCTACTCATCATCCCTTCTATATAAACAGCTACTGAGCCACCCTGACATATTCATCCCAGCTATACTCACGAAAATATCAGTTCCTGAAATCACGCAAAATTTTATGCAAACTAAACCTAACATTAAACCGCTCTAATACACTTCTCTTTCAACATGATAGGCAAACCCACACAAGGATCCAAAGGCACTTCTCTATCTCATTCATCCTGCTCATGCTTGATATTGTTTGCAGGTATGGCTTTTCCTGTAGATTCAGTTTAACGGCAAACCAATAAGGAGTCTTAAACCGCACAGTAATAGTTAAGAATTCTCTATCTAGAATATAAAATTCAGACATCGGAGTACCATGTGGAATTTAAAGCTATTATCTTGTCGATTTCTTGCATAAAAATCTCTTCCTCAAAAATATATTAACCAAAAGAATATACACCTATTAATCAACTGCATCCCTAGTAATGACCAAAAAATCTAATTATTAGTCTCCAAAGACCTGAAGATAGAATAAATCACTAATTGACATAAGCTTTGACCTCCAAGATCTTCCTTATGGCAAACTTGAAAACTGGTGCTAAACTTTGTCATTCAGCAAGCAGTCTTATATCATTTTTAATGATTCCACTCTCCAACAATTGACCAACATGGTTTGGCTCTTACACTGCATAACTTTTTGAGATGGAGTATATTTATTATACAATATATACGAGTTCAGAATAATAACAAAAGGAAAAAAGCATATTCGATAATTTTTCATTCCCAAACCCCCCATTTACTGTAATCATTGATTTACAAGGGACAGGGGAGCAGATTGTGATGTAGTTAGAAGTTTGTTTTTATTGAGTAATACCTTGACAAAACACGAGTGCATGTCAACAGTTGACAACATCTCAGCTCTCTCCCCCAAACTCAAGTTTGGAGACCTCTCCCACGACAGAAAAAGTAATTCCATTGGAATTTTGCCCAATAAGCAGTGCCCTCCAACATTTGCTGTCAAACATCCATTGAACTGAATCAGAGGGGAAATTATTAGACAGAAAAGATATTCAAATTTGCAATGCACTCCACAAACCTAACAAGAGGTGGAGAAATACATCCAGCAACAGAGATTAAGAAATAGGATAGATCATAGCAGAGATGTTATCATATTAATAGATAGGATATACTATTAGAATAGTGATAAGCATCTAATATGCATCTAAGAAAAGTTATTTCCATGGAAGATGCTCCAACTCCTTGTGTTCGCTCCACACCATCTACTACATCAATTTGTTGCTCTCTTTCTTGTGTAGGCTCGCCAAAGACCAAATGAATTAAATGTCTTACCACTCATATCATCTCACGATAAAAATTGGATCAAGGTAAAAATTCAATTGGGGAAACATGTACCAACATTACAAAAACATCCCATGCCAAAGGTCAGAGACCTAGAAAAGGATCAAGATAAAAATTCAATACAAAGACTAGAATCTATCCTAAAAAGCACATGCACGTGTGATACCCATCTCATGCCAAAGGTCAGAGGCCTACAACAACACATTACAAAACCCATCCCTTCATAAAATGGCAACAAAAATCTGTTCTTCTAAATAAGTTCTCCTAATTTATTACTAAACACGGGTTCTCTTGGTAAGAAATCCACTAAAATCTGTTGTTTTCAAAATTTGTTAAGCTCACATTATGAAATCAACACTCATAAAAAGTCCACCACAGATAGATTCTGATACAAAATGTATCCTATATTCATGAAAATCTCTACTGGGATAAACAACTTTTAATGAAGTTCACCTAAGTCCACAGTAAAAAAATAACGATCAGNAGTCCACCACAGATAGATTCTGATACAAAATGTATCCTATATTCATGAAAATCTCTAATGGGATAAACAACTTTTAATGAAGTTCACCTAAGTCCACAGTAAAACAATAACGATCAAAAATTGAAAAAAAATGTTTGAAAAGGTTAAACTTATTTTTTTCTGAGGGTCAAAACAATGTCATAAAAGCATAACATGTTAAATAATGTCATTTAGCTTTGGATAGCATATGAATAGGTTGTGACTTGTGACAAAGCAACTACTTATGGCACTCCAGAACTGGACTCTAATCTGGTCTTTCATGACATAAAATATTGCTATTCACCACATGGAGCACAATGGAATTCAATTAAATCAAACTATCACGCACACACAATCTTATTCTTGAAAGATACCACAAACATACATAAACGCAAGAGTAAGACAATGAACTAGGCCAACAAGCAAATAGAACAGCCAAAATTAATTGCTTCTTATGTAATCTGATGAAACTTATTATGACATTCTAAGCTAAATCAAGTAGCAAGAAGATCTCCAACCAAAACATCTTACATGGAAAAGAATTATCCATGTGGCCTTGGGTTAGATCAATCCCACACGAAGAATTTGTGATTTCATCTGCAACAAGATGAAGCACTCACGAGGTATAGCTATTGAAAACACATGTATATCCTCCCAAATTAAACAATTTGTACAAACTATTACATACCACAGCTGACTAACAAGAGAGCAAGAGAACCAGATTTGACCTCCACTGACAGCTTATTGATCTCGGGGAGAATAAATTTTGCTTGAGCTCGATTCATCCCCTCAAATCCATTGCAAGAGGTCAAGGTACATGCCCGATTGAAATGATAAACTGCAGAATTCTGTGTCCAAATAACATCAGAGAAAGAAGTAATACCTAGAAAACAATTTGACAGAATGGAGCAATTTGGCTGTAAGTAGTAAACACATTAATACCTCTGCAACTGGAACGTTGGAAACTGGCCTTGCCAGCAATATGTACAAAGGAAACAGACTTTGATCTTGACAACCATCATTAACAGTGACCGACAAAGAAATGGTCATTTGTATCCTACAAATTGAAGCAGAAACAACCAAGTAACTCTATTAAAAATATTTTTCAACCATAGGCTACGCAATTCATTCACGGTCCAGACAGCATCCTCAAACTTGCACGGTTTCTAAAGTCAAGGTAATCAAAAGGACAAAGTTATCAAGAAAAAAAAAACTTGCATATAAAGTGATTAGAAAATATAAGGCAAAAAAAGCAGAGAGAAAAATACTCTCAAAAAGTATTACTGATGACCGTACAGAACAAAATCAGTGGACTAAAAGTTTAGAAGATCTCAGCAATGCTGCACAAGCTACTGAAAACATTCACACAGATTTTCACATTTCCAGGTAAATCCAGGAACAAAGAAACACAAGTTACTGTTAAGGTACATATAAATAAGAGAAAGCTTTCATCTACAACAAACTTGCAACCACATAAAACAGGATTTCAGGAAAACCCACAAAGGTGTATATGAGATTCTGTCATCTAAGATCAAAAAAGATATTAAGGAAGAAAAAAGAAAGCACTTGGTCCTTCTGCATATTTTTGTTTCACATATTTGCATTTAATCTTCATAGTGGAATTTCTTCAAGCCCCCAAACTATCAGTAAGAATAGTAAGATAAAGCAAAGTGTGAACAGCGCAATTTAAAGATCAAAAGCTGTTAATCCACAAATAAAGGAACTAAAACACAAAAAGGATAATCTATTTTTCCAATATTAAATTGGTACAAATACTCAAACTTTCTTATGATTTGCTAACGCACTTCTTACAGCATTCATCCCATTTCTCAATCTCATGAACAGTGACATGAGATGAGTTGATAATGACATCCATCAGACATACAAAGATTGCAGTACTGTTGCCATCAAACACAGTTGAAGGTAATGTGGCACAACATCATCAAACTACTATACTAGTGATGCAGCTTGACTATTTTGAGCTTTTTGAGTCTTTTCAACAGGTCTTGACTCAAAAAAAAAAGGTCTTGACTAGGTGCAAGACTAGTTACACTTTAAGATTAAGATGGACCTCTATTAAGCTTGAAGCCCATAAATAGAGTTGCAAACATTTCTTACAGAGACTGCAAATTACCAAATTTTTAACATGCAGGTTTAAAGCTCTTCCTTTTTACTTTTCCTGATACGTAATAGATTGCAATCTCATTTGGTAAAAAGATTTTTGGTAAAACACTTGAAACGCCAACATATTCTTTTTTCTTGAGTGTGTGTGCTTTGAATTGTGGCCTTATCATATGTTTCAGGCATGTATCATTAGTATTACATCATGTACAGTAACTGATAAGGTATGTTCAGAATTCTATGCATATTAGCAATCCATAAAATTTTTCATGCAAATCAGAACCACATTAGTTTAAGGAACTGTTACCTCTTTTTGTGCTTCGCTTGTATTTTGTAATTCAAACATCTTTGAAGAAATAATGGCTACATAAGAATTGCCTTCAGTTAGAAACACAAAATCTGAAAGGAAACAAAATGAATAACATAACTTAATACTTCATTATCAATAGTACTAGTAACATAATCATATACATATATATAGGGGGTGGTTGTAGCACAAAATTCAATGGTTGAACTGATGAAATCTGCATGCCCCGAAAATCAGCACTTTATTCTATGCTGGGCTTTGACCAACCTGACCATTAAGATCAACATTCTGTAGTACTTCGATGAAATTTGCAGGGAAGGAAGACGGTGTAACTAAGTACATAAAAAAGCAATTATGGGAGGTGCATTCTATTAGAGCTTTAACCGGCTTTGACCTACAAACATACACCAGGCAAATGCCTAGTAATTATGCTTCACTCCCAGTAATTGAAATCTTTTGTCAGAACTTCAATATTGAATTGAGTGCATTACATTTCTATTAGCTCGCCGCTGAAGAATATTGTATAGTTCCACAGGCTTGCAATAAATTGAAAGGCTCTCCTCAGCTGCAATTTCCTCTTCCGCGGACAAATGCACACGAGAATCTTGGCGGCACATTTGATCCGCACTTCTAGAGTAACTGCAATTACAAACATGGGTTTCTATTTATAGTACACCTATTGCATCACAATCTATCAATATAACAAAGAAAATTAAAAATAAAAACCATATTGTTTTTGGTAGATCATACATATAAAATGTAAAAGGGAAAGGAAATCATGCATTTAGTCTATCTAAGTATAGATAAACAGAATCCTTCCATGTCTGACATCATATACATAAGGGGTTTGTCAATTAAATAGGCAGTACAACAAAAAGAAGTAATCTACAATAAAAGAGAACATACGTTGTTTCACGAGCTACTAATGGTATGCCTGGCATTCTTGTTAGAAAATGTCAAAATGCAAATTCATAGCTATCAGAACCTTTCCACAATAAGTACGCTTTAGCCACCCCAGACCTGCAAATAATAGGCTTTTAAAGAGTCAAATATTTCCATCTGTCTAGAATAATGCACACTGTTTGCAAACTGCATAAGAAACAACAGAGACATAAGAAAATATGCAAAACGAAAGAATGACGAGTTAAAAATAATGAAAACTCATTCAAGTGTTTATGGCTAAAACTAGAACCATTAAGGAAATAAAATTATAGCTTTTTTGGAGGATAGTTTGTCAATGCACAGATCCACATGACTTCTCTTATGTGTTCATGTTTACTGAAATGATATACCCCATATCAGATACTAAAATGCGCCAACAAGCACTATACTTCAAAACATACTCAAGGAACTTCCATGAATACCAACCTGGCTCTGTACAAGAACAGTCCAAAGGCAATGATCCATACAATTAAAGGGAATGATGATGAATTGATGAAAACAACGAGAAGAAGGTTTTAAGGTTACTAATTTGATGAAGAACTTCAAAGATTTACAAACTCTGTTACTTCAGTTGAAGCAAGCAAGCCTCTAATTCATTAAAGCCATTGCAACCCATACTCATCGCATGTCAGCTTCAATGTCACATTTAGAACTACTAGTTATGCTAAACGCACTGCACGCATCAAAAACTTTTTCAGCATTTTTTAATTTTAAAAATGCATGAAAAACATTTGATCCCTTGAAACCTGACATTTTGGAGCGAAATATGTAGTAAATATTATCCACCCCACCCCCAAAAAAAAAAAAAAAGAATTCCCAATTTGAAAAAAATGAACTCTCATAACTGATATTCCAAAACATGGTTACAACAATTCATTAAATCCTTAACGACCCACAATCTTGGTACATTGATCCCAAACGAGGTGAGTTTGCGATCCAGATCACCAAAATGGACGACCCTAAATTATAATAATAACTCTAAATCAATTCGCTTTAGAACATGTTAAACAAATATAAAATACATATTAATTGAGTAAATGTATACAAATTTATAATTATATATTGTTTTAGATAATAAAAAATCAAGTATAATTATAAGATAAATAATAACTAACTTGGTGTTTATGAATGTTCTATAATATATAATGTTCTATAGTAATGAAAACGATCTNTATTGTTTTAGATAATAAAAAATCAAGTATAATTATAAGATAAATAATAACTAACTTAGTGTTTATGAATGTTCTATAATATATAATGTTCTATAGTAATGAAAACGATCTACATAAGAGTTCCAAAACGAATTGCAACCCAAAACATCGTATCAGCTAAACCTACCCTCACCGTACCGCATACCTAAGAAAGGGTCGTACCATGTACCTGTACCACGTACCAAAGCGACCCACGATCTAAGTAATATTGTTCCAAAACCAAAAGATGCAGCCTNTGCAACCCAAAACATCGTATCAGCTAAACCTACCCTCACCGTACCGCATACCTAAGAAAGGGTTGTACCATGTACCTGTACCACGTACCAAAGCGACCCACGATCTAAGTAATATTGTTCCAAAACCAAAAGATGCAGCCCAAATTGACTCTTTGAAGTTTGGTCAACAATGAAAAAAGAATTTACAGTTCCATATAGAAATATTTCTGTGAGAGAATAAGCAAAGCTTATTATGCTAAAAACCTTTATGATGTAGCCCTTCACCACAACCATGTACAGTAAACTTTCTTTAGCAGATGGATTGAACAGAAAGATATAAGAGCACTACTTAAAAGAAACAGAAAATAAATCTTACATAAAGACACTCAATTAAACTCAATCTACCCCTCTTCTTCATAGTTATAGTGATGGATATGATAATCATTTTTTGTGACCAAAGCTTATTTTACTGAAAACATTTATGCTGTAGCCCTTCACTNCACTCAATTAAACTCAATCTACCCCTCTTCTTCATAGTTATAGTGATGGATATGATAGTCATTTTTTGTGACCAAAGCTTATTTTACTGAAAACATTTATGCTGTAGCCCTTCACTACAACCATATACAATACACTTTCTTTAGCAGATCGGTTGAACAGAAAGACACAAGAGCACTACTTGAAAGAACAGTCAAAATATCTTAAATAAAAGGCATTCGATTAAACTCTAACTAATCCTACTTCTTCATAACTATAGTCATTCATATCATGATCAATTTTTGCGATCCAATGCACAACACCTATTATGCTAACAATCTTTATGAAATAGTCCTTCAGCACAATCATGTACAAGATACTTTCTTTAGCAGATTGATTGAAAAGAAAGACACAAGAGCACTACTTGAAAGAACAGAAAAGAAATCTTACATAAAAGACATTCGATTAAACCCAATCTACTCCTTGCATTATTTTCCATTATTCTTCATAATTAGAGATAGATAGAATTAGGTCGGCCGGAACTTTAATTTCCTATATTTTCCATTATTTTCTCAGCACCAAACGGAGCAAAAGATAAGACGAAAAAGAAAAATCTTTTCGCAGAATTGTAATCAGCTCGTCAATTTTCAGCAGACCTAAAATCAAAAATTGATTTGAAAATACAAAGAGGACTCGAATACACCGATCTAAATTTTAGAGCTGAAATCAAAGAATGCATACAGAAAATCAAAATAAAAATAAAAAAAAAAGCAATTGAAATTAATAGCAAAAATTACCTCAGATGCTTAAAACCCTAATCTTTAACCGGCCGGTGCGGTGCAGCTTCTCAGATTCGAACCCCGTCTCCTGGCGATCTATAGGAGAGAGAGAGAGAGAAAGAGAGGTTCGAAAATTGGGGACCCGCTTCGGTATCCAAAAGGACGCCGTCGTGAGAGACAGGCTTCAACGACTGGCACCTGGCTGCTGTTGATGTCAGAGTATTAGAAGATAGGTACCGACTTGTCTTGCGAAGATACACAAGTCTTTCTTTTTTTGAATAAATTACACCCAGACCCAAGATTTATTACTTAATCACCTAAATCTCCTCGCACATATTAAACCTAAATCTCTTCAGATTTATGCGCATTTAACACATAATCCAATCGCCAGTCTCCATTAAGGTAGCCGTTAAAAATTTGTCAGTCTCAACCCCAATAACTCATGATTTTTTAATAATATGTTTTTAGTTGTTTGCAACTTTGTTAGAACATACTGGTTAGGGCATTGTTGAAATAAATTAGGTGTTTATTTGATTATTGGCGTTAATTCAAAATATATAGTGTGGCAAGACATGAGTTTTAGTACATCAAGTTTTTTTTTTTTTTTTGAGATATGTGTTCTGATTAGGGTTCTTGTACATCATCATGGTTTTTTTTTTTGAAATATATGTTCTCATTAGAGTTCTTGTACATTAGGATTTTTCTTTGAAATACTAACTCTTTTTCATCCCTTTTTTTTGTTTTCTTATACCATTTCTCTTTAATATGCAAAGAGTGTGATTTCTAATTTGACAGTACTCGTCTCTTTTATAAACACCGCTCCAACAATAAAAAAAAATGGTGTTTTGAATGTTGGTTCGGTCTCTGACCCCATATAAAAGGTAGTTTGGTAAATTATTTTTACATATTAAGATGATATCATGAATTTTTAACGGTTATTTTAAGAGAGACGGATGATGGGGGTTGTGTGTTACATACACACAAAAATTATGGGGTCTTTGAGTGAATCTAAATAAATAATTGACAAACTTCAAAGAATTTGAATATAATTTGTACTTTTCTTACTATTTTTGGAAAAATAATAATCCACACACTGTTCATCCATAATTATGTGGAATCATGGTTATTTCATATAGCAATAAGGGTTTTTTTAACTAATTATGTTTGATATATATATATATATATATATATACTTATCATCGGATTTGGGGCAAAGAGGGCAATAATGATAATGGNTGGGGTCTTTGAGTGAATCTAAATAAATAATTGACAAACTTCAAAGAATTTGAATATAATTTATACTTTTCTTACTATTTTTGGAAAAATAATAATCCACACACTGTTCATCCATAATTATGTGGAATCATGGTTATTTCATATAGCAATAAGGTTTTTTTTAACTAATTATGTTTGATATATATATATATATATATATATATACTTATCATCGGATTTGGGGCAAAGAGGGCAATAATGATAATGGCAATGGTAATAAAATTAGGGGCGATGGCGACAATGGTAGTGTTTAGAGTGAGGCAGACCTTTGGAAAGTGGTGGTGATNATATATATATATATATATATATATATATATATATATATATTATACTTATCATCGGATTTGGGGCAAAGAGGGCAATAATGATAATGACAATGGTAATAAAATTAGGGGCGATGGCGACAATGGTAGTGTTTAGAGTGAGGCAGACCTTTGGAAAGTGGTGGTGATAGAAGGGAAGGGATGGTGCAAAAGAGTCTTGTTATTCAAACTTAAATTAAGGATTAATGCATGCATTGTAATCATTGGATTAACAACATGGTCTCAACATTAAATAAAATTCATTGCCAATCAAATGATCACATTACATTAGATTTTAAAATTAAATACAAATAATATTATTGTAGTGCAAAATGATTATTTACCTAGTTCCACAAATAATAACCACATTGTATCAATTTTATTGGTATAATTATATTATAAAATTAATTGATTTGTCCATTGAATAATGAAATAACTCGATCTGGCCCAGTTAGTTACTAAAAAACATCTTAAGACTCTCAAAATTAAGAGGCCAGGAAAAGAATGATTTCTGGGGATTTTTGTTGNTGTAGTGCAAAATGATTATTTACCTAGTTCCACAAATAATAACCACATTGTATCAATTTTATTGTTATAATTATATTATAAAATTAATTGATTTGTCCATTGAATAATGAAATAACTCGATCTGGCCCAGTTAGTTACTAAAAAACATCTTAAAACTCTCAAAATTAAGAGGCCAAGAAAAGAATGATTTCTGGGGATTTTTGTTGTGACATTCTTTCAAACTTTTGTTTATGGCTTTGTGGGTGCATTGATTGTTCAATGATGTTAAAATTACTAATCAATGTGATCCTAAAGTTGGGATTGGTCTGGTTAATGATATCCAAAAGGGAAATGCTTAACCACGAAGTGGGGACCTCTTAAGTGAAACTTTTGGGTGGCCTAATTATGAGAGAAATTCATAAACTGAAAAGCTGTCGGGTCAAGGCGGAGGAATTCAAGGGACTATGAATTAAGAGAAAAAAAACGAGTTAAATCTGTTGTGTTTAATTTTTTAATGAGCTTAAAAAGTAATCTATTTTCGATCTGTTTAGAAAACGAATCAAGTCGAATCTGAACCAAGTTTAAAATGAGTCAAAATTGACTAGTTCGGTTTGATTATCGACNTTTGGGTGGCCTAATTATGAGAGAAATTCATAAACTGAAAAGCTGTCGGGTCAAGGCAGAGGAATTCAAGGGACTATGAATTAAGAGAAAATAAACGTGTTAAATCTGTCGTGTTTTTTTTTTTAATGAGCTTAAAAGGTAATTTATTTTTGATCTGTGTAAAAAATGAATCGAGTCAAGTCTGAACCAAGTTTAAAATGAGTCAAAATTGACTAGTTCGGTTTGATTATCAGTTCTAATTAAGATCATTTACATAATAGGCAAATAACCCATCAAATGTTTGAAAATCATGCTTTTAGTGAGAAATTTTTCGTTTTTTCTTTTGTTTGCTCTTAAAGTGAAGAGTTCATTTGAAAATCATGCTTTTAGTGAGAAATTTTTCGTTTTTTCTTTTGTTTGCTCTTAAAGTGAAGAGTTCATTTTTTCATCGCACAAGAGGAAATCAAATTGTTATGAATTTTGAAAAAAAATTATCGATACTTTTAAGAAAATAATAGGTAGAAATTAATTTAAAATAATATAATCAAAGAAAAGAAGAAAAGAAAATTTGATATTTAATATACACTACAAAAAAAATAACTTTTAGCCGCTAAATTTAGATTGTAGCTACAAATATTGTCACTGAATGAATATGTTTGGTGACAAAAATTTATTATTGCCATTAAAAGTATGATGTTGAAATTATTTAGTTGCTATAATTATAGTCACCACTAAATATATATAATTAGTGGTGAAAAAGTATTGTTGTCACTAAATATATGATAATGAATATAATTAGTGATAATTTAAATGTTGCAACAAAAATACATTACTAATTTATCACTAATTTCAAGTATTTAGTGACTAATTTAAATTTAGTCATTAATAATATAAAATTTTAGTGATAACATTTTTCAGTTGTAGCAACCATGCCTTATTTTTAGTTGCGATTTATTATTTTTGCCACTGAATGTCAATTTTAATATATCATACAAAATTTGGGTGTTTAATAGTACATTCACCTCCACCACATCGTCGATCTCTCTCATTGTCTTTCTTTCACCGTTTTTCTCTCTCTCCTTCTCAATCGTCGATCTCTCAATTCCTTTTTCGTCACGATTCCAACTGGTTTGAAGACTCCATCAAAGACACCTCCATCGCCACCACCGCACTGTTAATCTCCTTATTCAAAACCCTCAATTTCATCTAATTACAGAAATACTTCCAGATCTCATCAACCTCTGAAGACGCCAATCTGATATCTGATCTCGGAATCCGAAACCCTAAGCTTGATGGCTGGGGCTGCCTCTACACTTTTTCTTCTCGACATCAAGGGTCGCGTTCTGGTCTGGCGCGATTACCAGGTGTTCTATTGAAGTGAATTTGATTTTTTTTTAAAAAACCAAGATCTCTAATTTATGACAAATTTATGTTTTTTGTTTAACTTAATGTGTAGTTTCTGTATTTTATTGACCTGGATTTAGAACACTTTCATGTTCAAAAAGAAAATCGTTGAATTAATAAGATTAGTGATTCAATGAAGCTGAATTGGAGCTTTCATTTACTTAGATTTCAAATTGATTTTAGATTTGTAACATTGAATTAAGCTAGAGATAGCTTATGTTTGTTGATGATTTGTATAAATTGCAATTCTCATACGAGGTTTCTTTATGAAATTTACTTGAATCTGCTCATTTGTTCTGTTTCAATTATAACTGTTTAGTTTTGAGAAGTAAAGTTAGCTGAAGCGGAACTACTTATGATTCTTGTGGTGTTTTGATCTATTTTAGGGTGATCCTGAGTCTCAAGATCCAGTTGTGTATGATAATGGCGTCACATATGATAAATGTTTATACAGCACGACAATTTATTTCTAATGACCGCATCGAGGCAAAACTGCAATGCCGCCAGCCTTCTTTTATTCCTACACCATGTAGTTGATGTAAGTACTATAAGTGATTAAAGATATGTGCTTTCGGTTTATGATCAATATGCATTCATGCGATTTTAATATGTAATTGATAGGAAGAAGGCTGTTATACTGTCTCTTTATGTCTCTGGACAGGAGGATTGAAGACTATACAGATTGGTTGATTTTTTTTGAAGTGATTTAAAGCCTTGAATTTTAGGCTTTTCATTGTTTTGATGCGGAATCCTTCTTCATCTAGTTGCTCGATATTTACCTTGTGTTAGTTCATATTTTTTGTCATTGGTCCTCTGAGCAAGTAGAGCAGCTTCCGTGAAATATGCTCTATGCTCACATTTCTGTAGTGGAGTCTTCTCTATTTTTGATCAAAGAGTTGTTCCCTATGTCTAGAAGTTCTTTTGTTGATCTCTGAGATGGAGTGTTCAGGTATATTTTGTTAGCTCCTTTTGTTTTTATGGCCCACATGTTGATGGGTTGTGCCCCTGTTTTGGAGCTTCTTAATTATTGTTTCATTGTCGCTTTTTGTTTTTATAGTTTCAAGACAAAAGATCTAGTAACTTGTCAAAAAAAGAATATGTAGTTGAGACTTGATTGTTATGCAATAACTTTTTTGTTCATTCCTATTCTTTGATGATAACGCATTGTACACGTACAATTTAATGATGCTAATATCAAAATATTATTTTCACGTAATTTGGTTTGAGAAATATATCTTTGAAAGTGAGAGTTTATTTGAGTTTATTATTTTCACGTACTGGACTATTTTCTGCTATCTCAATTAGCAGTTGCTGAGGTGTTTTGGTGAAGCTGATGTGCTGGTGCTGCATCTCTGTGATGTGTTGCACTTTGTGTTGCTGTGTTGAAGCTATGCTGTTGCGAAGGATGGAAGTTGAAAATGGAGGAAGACTGCTTTTACAGTAGGATCAATAGACAGGATTTGCAGATTCAACAACTGGACAGAGAGGAATCTGCCTCCTTTTCTGTTCAGGTATACTGTTATCTTGGAAGTACTGCAGTTGCTTCTATGTACTACAAAGGATGAGGAAGATGGTGAGTTCTGATTAAGGGCCAGAGACTGAGCTTGAGGGTCAGCAAATGCAGCAGTTGTACAGGAAATTTTTTAGCTGTTTTTTCTTGTAACAGAATTCTGTAACAATTTTTTTATTTTTCTTATTAAAACAGTTACTGTTTTTTTATTCTTATAAATTTTGAGATTTATTCAATAAATTTCTTCTATTTTAAAAAAAAAAATTATGCGATAGGTTTCTTTGTTCATTTTAATGTATTAATTAGTAACGACAATAAGTTGTCAAAAAAATCATGTTTTAAATTTTAGTGGTAATTTTAATTGTGGGTAAAATGTATACTTTTAGCCGCAATTAATTGTTGTCACTAAAAGTCAGGTTTTAATTGGGTTTTTAGCGGTGATATAGTATATTTTAGTGGCAAAATTTAGTTTATTTGCTACAATAATTATAGGGGCTAAAAATTTTCACATTTAGTGACATTTTTCATGATGCGGCTAAACAATTTATTTTTAGTGGAAACAATTAAATGTTATAGCTAAATGATTTAGTCACACACATATTGTCGCGGCCTAGTGGCAATAAAAATATTGTCACTAATGTATATAGTGACAATTTTTATACATTTAGCCGCAATAATTTTCGCGGTTAAAAGACCAATTTCTTGTAGTGATAGTGGGATCAATTTTTTGAGGGTTCAAATTTTATGTTTAATTGTGTCTTTAAACACGGGTTATAGCTAGTATTGCAAAATTACACATGAAAAATTTGAAAAAAGGATAACATATAAAAAATTAACCAACAACAGTCTACAGTCTGATCAGAAGCACATTAATCTTCCTAAAACTAGAACAGAAAACTAAGAAGACTAAAAACAAACATCACACCAAAGCAAACATAAGAAAAGGGAAACTCTTCCGTACCACAAAAAAAAAAAAAAGTATTGCTCGTATTGCCGATTACTATTTTGTAGAGTAAAGTTATAATTTTGAAAAGACAAGTTATAATTGCTCAAAGGAGATCATGATCGATCATAGACACTCATAATTAATCATGAAAAATATAGTATTGATCACAACATTCTATGATCGATCATGCCTTTTAAAATTATAACTTAACTTTAAAAAGTTATAAATTTTGATACCGGTCCTTTCCGCAGCGCCGTAGTAGTTCCAAAAAAGGCACCTATTTATTAAATCCTTAAAGTCTGGATGAAGCTCCTTCCTTCTGCAATGTCATTCTTGGAGAGAAAATTGAGAAAATCTCTGAAGCTACTCTCCTTGTAGCCTTTGAGATGGTGTTCATCAACAAGCTCTTTGGCAGTTTCCATCTTCTCATCCATGCCCATGCTATGCAGACTAGCAATGGAGATTCTAGTCTTGTCGCGTTTAAGGGTAACCCTGTGTACGACACTTTTGTACAACCCATTGCTTAGGACCTCGAGATGGTCACCAACATGAACTTGTAGGACACTGTGAAGGTCCGGGACGGCCCTCCATGCGCCGACCTCATTGTCCATAATTTCAAGACCGGAAGAGTTTTGGAGGAGGATGGTTAGACAAGTATAGTCGGAATGAGGTGGCAACCCTAATGCAATACCCGGGTCGGCGCACGGCGGGTAACAGTTGACCGTCATGACTTGCATTCCTTCATCCAATTTGCCACTTAGGTAGGTTGGACCAATGCCAAGGCCCTCAGTGATGGCCCCCATAATCTCCATGGCAAGTTTTTTTACCTCTACGGTGTATTCTCCCATCTTCACTCTGTCATGTTACAATTCAAACATTCATATGTAAGTGTCATGCTTTACACTACAAGTGTGTATTAACAGTTGAAATGCTTCTGTGAATTGAGAGTGCCAAAATACAATTATTAATACTTACATAAATTAGGGTTAATGACATTTTGTTCCCTAGAGAATTTTAAAAACCTCAATGGTACCACAAAAATTGTGTCTTAGTCCAAAAAAGTTGTACCTTAACCTAAAAAGTTATATTTTTTTTTTTTTGTTATAAATAAATCTTAAAACTTATATCGAAACCCACAAAAATTATAAAATTTAGAAATATGGTACCGAAAAAAAAGTTTGGACACTACAGTCTTAATACCCCGAGCAAAAGACAAAGTATGGCATGACTTCAGGCAGCCCACCATGAGAGATGGCTCTATTTTTAGCTGAAATCATGTTCAAGATGATAGCCTAAACATGTATGCATGAGTTTAGCCTTACAACTAAGGGTGTTTTGGTAATTGCATGACAGACATGGTGACTATATTATGGCTAACAATGTAGAAATAATTATAGTTTTAAGGATATATTTAGAATTGGAATTAATAAAAATTGCTACTAAACTTTTGGCCAAATTAATAATTATTAGAATTATGATGTGAGCAATATAATTATAAGTGTTGTAATCTAAAATTCGAAATAAAACATGCAAATAATAGTTAGATCATATAACATGCAATTTAAATAAATACAGAAAATGTATAAACATGCAATCTAAATAAACTAAATAAATTAATTTGGAATGAGCTGGCCTGCGAATCCGAGAGACATGTGATTACTGTCCTAAAACAGCTGAGCCTCCCCACGTGAGGGTACTAATGGACACTAGCGACTCCAAGATCCAATCTAAACGCTCGCAGCAGCATCTTTTTAATGGTCACGTTCACTGGAAGGTTAAAGTAAACCTGACTCGAATCGAATTATCCTAAAAATAAAATAATAAAAGATAATTAAAAAGTATGTCAAGTATGAAAAGAAAATCTATTAAAAGATTCTAGAGTAGATTTTCATTGCACTTAAAAGTTATCTCAAAAGCCCCTTAAATAGTCATCGTGTATGTAACGTACACATGACTATTCAACGTACACATGACAAAAATCATTATTCAATTTTTTTAAGCCGTTTTGCATTTGGTGTCTTTTTCTATGGTTTTTATTGTTGAACCTTGAATAGCCATGAGACTAATTTTATTCTTTAATACTCACAATAAATTAGATAAAATTATGTAATTGAAAATTCAAAACTCAATTAAAAAAATATGTAACTGAAATTTATAATTTAAACATGATTAAAATGAGAATTCAATAAAAGTTTTAAAAACTTAATTATATTCTTACAACCCCCACAAGTTTTTGAAACTTCAAAATATTTCAAATATTTTATATATACTTTAATATAAAAAATATGGATAACTATTATACTGTGCAATAGGTATAGGCGTCTACTAGACTTGAACCTCATTTAGTGTTAACAGTTTTCCTCTGAAGGATCATAGTGACCAAAGGCTTGAACTAGATCCTTTGGACCAGAGTTCAACATGTCACACACACAGTACCAATATTGGTCAAGATTCGTGGATCAGTGCTATTAATGGTCTTGCACTTGATCTTGATTCTCATGAGAGAGAATAACTCAATTCTCATAGTCGCGGCCTCACGACTACTCTCACTTAGGTGAGCCCTCCAAGGATACATGTGCACAATACCCTGCAGGAGTGTTCTTGCCTCGGTCTCATTCAGGANCAGTTGCGACCTCATGACTGCTCTCACTTAGGTGAGCCCTCCAAGGATACATGTGCACAATACTCTGCAGGAGTCTTCCTGTCTCGGTCTCATTCAGGGTAAAAGCATTCTATACCGTCACATTACATATGCACTTTTTGGCATAGGGATGAGCAGGAAAATATATCCTCTTGGATATTTCCTAAATTACAGTGTTAATGAGTCACGCAGTATGGATTGTTTCTACCCATTGAACTTCCTTCATGGGGTCCCCAATCACAGAAGTTAGGTTACCTCCCTAGGTGACTCCCTTGTGGGCTTAAGCTCATCCCCCTCGACAGTTCTGAGACAATTTTTCTCGAAAACCCTTTAGTTAGCTGATCAACTATATTTAGCTCAAACTTCATAAAATCTAGTGAGATTATATTTTTACTCAACATTTTATTTATTGATTTATATCTCACTTGTATATGTCTATTCATCTTTTTATTATTATGATTTTGCTTCACAAACTCAATCACTATCTTACTATCACAGTGTAATGAAATGGCAGGTATGAATTTTTCCACTAGAAGTATTTTTAGTAATAAATTTTTATCCACTCAGCCTCAGCATACGTGGTATCTAAGGCTATAAGTTCCGACTCCATAGTACTTTTTGATATTAGGATTTATTTTTTAGATCCCCAAGATATGGTTGTTCCTCCTAATAGAAAAACATTGCCAGTAGTGAATTTTATATCTAAACTATCGGTGATCCAATTTGCATCACTAAAGCCCTCAACTACACTAGGAAATCCACTATAACATAAAAAGTAGTCTAAGGTTCCTTTAAGATAACTAAAGACTCTTTCTAAGGCAACTCAATGCTCTTTACTCGGACTATGTGTATATCTACTTAGTCTCTCTACGGCATACGAGATATCAGGTCTAGACTTGTTTGCTATGTATAATAAATATCCAATTATTTGTGAGTACTTCAATTGTAAAATCGGTTCTCCTTTATTTTTCTTCAAATGTACATGAGAATCGTATGATGTTGATACAGACTTACTATTATAAAAACCAAACTTTTTCAACATTTTCTCTATGGTGCCAGACTGACTTAGAGATATTCCATTAGATGTTTTCTCTATTTTCATTCCCAAGACCACATAGGCTTGTCCCAAGTCTTTCATAACAAACATAGTAGATAAATAAGATTTAACATCATTAACGACTTTCAAGTTTGTCCCAAAAATTAGTATATCATCTGCATAGAGACATAAAATCACACAACCAACATCACTATCCTTGTAGTATAAACATTTATCACTTTCATTAATTTGAAAACCATACTCTAGAATTACTTTATCAAACTTCTCATGCCACTGTTTGGGAGCTTGTTTAAGGTCACATAAAGACTTCACTAACTTACAAACCTTATGTTCTTGTCCTTTCACCATAAACCCCTCAGGTTGTTCCATATATATTTCTTCATCTAAATCCCCATTTAGGAAAGCGGTCTTAACATCTATTTGATGTATTTCTAAGTTATGAATAGATGTTAGAGCTATTAGTATTATAATGGTAGTAATACTAGTCACAGACGAGTATGTATCAAAATAATGTATTCCTTTCTTTTGAGTAAATCCTTTAGCCACCAATCTAGCTTTATATTTATCTATACTCCCATCAGGTTTTAATTTCTTCTTAAATACCCACTTACACCCAATAGCTTTGCTTCCAGGAGGCAATTCTACTATATTTCAAGTATTATTAAGCAATATAGATTCAATTTTATTATTAATATCCTCCTTCCAAAAAGGTGCATCTATAGAAAACATAGCTTCTTTATATGTCATTGGCTCTCCTTCTACTAAAAAAGTAAAAAATCCTTCTCCTAAGTCANTCTTTACTCGGACTATGTGTATATCTACTTAGTCTCTCTACGGCATACGAGATATCAGGTCTAGACTTGTTTGCTATGTATAATAAATATCCAATTATTTGTGAGTACTTCAATTGTAAAATCGGTTCTCCTTTATTTTTCTTCAAATGTACATGAGAATCGTATGATGTTGATACAGACTTACTATTATAAAAACCAAACTTTTTCAACATTTTCTCTATGGTGCCAGACTGACTTAGAGATATTCCATTAGATGTTTTCTCTATTTTCATTCCCAAGACCACATAGGCTTGTCCCAAGTCTTTCATAACAAACATAGTAGATAAATAAGATTTAACATCATTAACGACTTTCAAGTTTGTCCCAAAAATTAGTATATCATCTGCATAGAGACATAAAATCACACAACCAACATCACTATCCTTGTAGTATAAACATTTATCACTTTCATTAATTTGAAAACCATACTCTAGAATTACTTTATCAAACTTCTCATGCCACTGTTTG